TGATGAATTAATTCAATAAAAACATGTAGGCATTAGTGACTGTAATGAGGCCCAAATGTGACTGCTCATGTATGAATGGCAAACATGGAAATTAATTAGTCTATTCCCTTTTTTGGAATTGTTTCAGTGAATGTATGTCTGGAATGTACAAAGATCATATTCTCATAGTGATTTTGTGGACACAGATTCGTTGTTATTAATGGACTAATGATGGAACTATTAAGCAAATACAAATAAATATGTGAAGAACAAGAGGGCAGAACATTGTCTCACTGTTAAAGTTTGTGACGAAGCAAGTTGTATCATTAATAACCATTGAAAGTAGTGATACCCATTAAGAAATAATTGGACAGGGGCGCCTGGGGGGCTCGGTGGCTTAAGCCTCTGCCTTCGGCTCTGGTCATGATCTCAGGGTCCTGGGATCAAGCCCCATATCGGGCTCCCCTCAGCAGGGAGCTTGCTTCCTCCTCTCTCTCTGCCTGCCTCCCTGTGTACTTGTGATCTCTGTCTGTCAAATAAATAAAAATCTTTATTAAAAAAAACTTATCCAAATATAATAATAGAATAAAAAACGCATGAACACAACTAAAAACAAGATCCTCATCTATTCTTGACTCCTGTGTATAAGATCCCATCAAACGATGGGAATAGGCTACATTTCCTGGTGTGTTGGCCCTCGGAATTCAGAAAGTATTCATCGTGTATGACTCATACGCCACCAGTGGTCATCATGGACCAAGTACGGCCCTTCTTTACCTTCATTCAATTCTGCATTGTTTACCGACTCACTCATTAATTTACTAACAATAATTTAAAACTTTATTATTCAGAATAATGCAAGAGTCACAATACCCCAATCTGCATACAGAATTGTTCTCACATCAACATATCTTTTTCATTAATTATCTTAACTTTCACCTGTGATATAATTTAAAAATCCAAAAAATAAAAAGATAATGTGAAAAATATTACCTTAAACTTCATGCATGTAATAATATAATATTTCATAGGAATTCAATAGTTGTCACTAGGCTACAGTTGGCCACCTTTCACTCTACACGGCACTTTTAAAAATAAACCAAATATCCCTAAAAAAAAAAAAAAACATAGCTGAAACCAAGATAAGAACTTGACGATTACTCACATGGGTGTCCGTGCTTCTAACATACAGATGTAATCATGGATTCACCAGCATAACACAACGCTTCCTCAGTGTGTCTGTCCAGAGAAGTACAAAACACAGTCAATGCGAAAAAAGAAAGTTAAGACCTTATCTCCACTGACCCCTGCTTTCCATATTTCATTTCCTCACTTATTTTTTCACTTAATAAAAGGAACAACGTCATACTGGACACTGGCTCGGAGAGACTAGACTCTTACCAGTATTAACACTTAGCTAAGGAGGTAACATCCTTTCTCTACTTATTTCCTAAGGAATATAAATATTTTCAATTTCCATATTTCTTTGGTGGTTCTATCATTGATCCACCAATAATAACAAACCCAAACGTATAAATTCAAGATAAGAACATGATCTTTGTATATCCCTAACATCCATGTACAGAATCCAACAGAACAGAAGGAACAGTTTTTATCACGTTGGACCTCAGATACCCAGATGCACACTGCCCATCATCCATGAATCAGCCATCACCTGTCATCATCACTGGTCCATTAGAGGTGCCCTCGTTCTCAACTCCTTTCTACACTTGTATTGATTAAATAATTAATTCATTGAAAATATTAACATTGAGTATAATTTACAAAAACCAAAGAATAAGATGCCTGAATGCCCTTAACTTCTAATATAGAACCATTGCCAACACAGCTTCTATTTCTTTCATTAATCAAACTCAATGTTATGTAATAAATTAATGAATACAATGTTTTACATCATATTTATTCGTCAGGCATAGTGAACCTTTTCATGATACTAATTACTTTTTAATAATACCATGAACACACACAAATGACCCAAACAAAAACAAAATTTTTGACCATTACTCTCCTTGTTCCATTTCCTAACACAAAAGGAAGGTCAAGTGACAAGCCTGATTCCCAACGGAAGACGAAATCAGCTCAAGCACCTGTTCTGAAGAGGACAAAACAGAAGGGGATGAAAAAATTGAGGCTTTCTCTCCACTGACCCATGCATCCCACCACTCACTCTCATAATCATGTAAGCATTTATTAACTGAATGGATATATTTATTCTTACCTTAAAAATAAACTTCAAACTTGGAACTACATCAGACAATAACTGATGTTATTTCGTGATTTTAATCAACCCCGGTCAAAGACGTAACACACTCGGTCCTTTCTACCCATTCTATCCAATGTATGTTAATATTCTTTTACCTTGCTCTGTATTTACCAAAAACAAAACTTCAATCTTCTCACCTTTATTCATTTATACATTTGTTCATTTATCCTATCATTAATAGTTTCATAAATTAATTACTAACTACTAATAGTTTCATAAATCAATTACTAAAATTCATATATTACTAAATTGCATAAATTACTTACTAATATCAACAACGAAATCCTTATTTATTACTGACATCTGTATAGAGGATCGCCAAACACAGGAGAAACAGACTAGTGTATTTATGGATCAGATCTGAATTCCAGACATTTACCACCAGTTGTCATCCTTGGTCCAAGATTCTTTCTTTCCCTTCTCATAAACACTTATTTATTAATTCATTAATTAAAAAATACATATAAATCAAAATATAAGAATATGGTCCTTCAGCATTCCTAACATCTGTCTCTATAATATTACAGTGACTCAATCTCTCTCATTAACTGACCTTGGTGTTACATTTATGGATTAGTAAACATAATGCTACATATGAATCCAGTAGTAAACACTGTTATATTTTGCCTTCTCTGATTTTATTTAATACTTCGGAATAAACACACTGAATAGCCTTAAATAAACCAAGACAAAAGCTCTGAGTCTTACTCACATGGTCTCCACGCTCCTCCAACGTAGATGGGAGCAGAGGGCTGGCGACCTTGGAAGAAGAATGTTACCGTCAGCTGTAGTGTGTCCATTCTGAGGAGCACGGAGCAGAGTACATGATAAAAAAAAAAAGAGAAAGAGAGACATTCTTCCACTGATTCTTGCTTTAATTCTTCCATTTAGCCCGGCACTTAGGAAATCATTACTGAAAAATATTTATTTCACCGTCTTCCACAAAAATGAACTACTTTTAACTTCCCAGTGGTCCAGGATATAAAAACCATCTACAATGTGTCCTATCTCATCCAAGCCAACGAGGGGACAGTCATGCACCATTTCCTTCTCTTTGGACTTCAGTGTTTTCAAATTATATTCATAATACTTCTTGCCTCCCCACATATTTTTGAAATTGGACAATGTTCCTACAATGTGTATTTTTTTACGTATTTCCTTACTGCTATCTCATTGCTCTGATTATAATCGAGAATGGAAATGCATGGAGAGAAAGACCGCATCTCTTCTGTGTTGGACCTCAGAGTTCCAGACACGTATCACTCATCATCCGTGATTCATACGCTGGCAGTTATCATCACTGATCCAGAAAGACCGCTTTCTTCTCATTCATTTCTACATTCTTCGTTAATTCAGTAATTCACCAATTACTATTTAAAACCGTATGATTCGTGAAACCTGAAGAAGAGACGTTTACCTATAGTATGTATCTGGAATCATTCACGCATCACGCTTGTCTCTCATCAGTTACCCTGCTTTTCATAAATGCTTCGATCAATGTAACGGTTCGTTTTGATCCTGTATTCGTTACTAGGCCTCAGCTGGCCTTCTCGGGTTGCAGTTCATATTCTGTATGAGCACAATGAATATCCTTAGCAAAATACCAGAACCAAAACAGGAACTTGGACCATCACTCACATCCGCCTCCTGTCACCCCAGCACTAAAATACAGCCCGAGGGCCCTTGGTTGGGGAGAATCCTTACGCAGCTCTAAGCTGTCCGTCCTGCGGAGTGTAAAGCAGAGCATATCATAGAAATAGTCAAGACATTCCATTCTCTTTGGCCCATGCCTTTAACCTTTCATTAAATCCACTGTTGGTCAACTCTTAATTTGGTGTAAATATATTTGTTCTCTTGAGAAAATGAACAACTTTGACTTACCAATGACCCAGAATCTGAACACTGTCTACGACTTACACTCTCCACAGCACCCTTAGCCATGCATCTAACGGTCACGTAGCTCTCACTTCCAATTAAACTTGAGAGTTTTCAAAGAATGTTCATAGTACTTCTTGCATAATCACATAATTAGACAATGCTTCATTACATTCCCCTTTATTTATGTTTATGGATTATTTAACTAACCCAATTATAAAAAATTGAAAGAAAATGCAGGAACACTAACAGTAAAAACAAGATCCTTGTGTATTCTGGACATCTGTCCACACGGGATCGCTTCAAACAATGGGAATGCGCAAGATTTCTCTTCTGTTGGACCTCAGAGTTCCAGACACGTATTCATCATATATGACTCATACGCCATCAGTGGTCATCATCGATCCAATATTATCCCTCTTTTTCGTTTTTCATTTCTAATTGTTTACTGAGGAAATCATTAATGCACTAAGAATTTTAAATGTTGTAATTCATAAAAACTGAGGAAGAACTCAAATGTCCCTACTTCTACCTACATAATTCTCACATCAATATAGCTCTTTAATTAATTTAATGAATTATCCTTTAATTAATATCGCTTACATCAGCTCAAATGTATCCACTTTGAGACATGGATAGTACAGTCCACGATAAAACATAGAATTAAACGTTTATTTCCATTGAGTCTTACTTTCCACATTAATCATGCATGGATTAACCGTTATAATAGTTTACATAGCCCGCATTATCAGGGAAATACAGTGCCTCTTTTCATTATACGCTGTAGATTTTTAATAGTACAGTGAATGACCTTAAACCTTAAACAACACATAAACCAAGAAAATCATTTCACTGTTACTTACATTAATCCCCATCCTTCTATTACAGAGGCAACACAGAACTCAGGATCATAGAAGATGTTACATCTGCTCAGGTGTGTCCGTTCTGAAGAGCACACAGTAGGGCAAGATAAAAAAAGGACTGAGGTATTGTGTTCACGGGTCCTGGAATCCCATCTTTAATTTAATCCCTTATTAAGTAATGAATTACAATACTGCATATATTTTTTCTCATAAGTAAAGGAACGCTATCAATCTAGCCGATAAAGAATATGAACACTGGTTATTACTTATCCATAACTGCATCATCCTCAAAGAGCAAGTCCTGTACCATATGTTCCCTTGTAGACATCAGCATTTTAAATACGCACTAACACTATTCCCTACCTAACCACCTATTTTTATAATTGGACAAGATTTCACTGCTTTAATCTTTATTTATTTGTATGCTTGTTTATTGATTGTTTCATTGATCTAATTATAAAAATTAAAAGAAAATGGGTGAACAAGGACCCACAACCAAGATCCTTGTATGTGTTTGGTATCTGTCTACAGAGTCACCTCAAACATGACAATAAACCAGATTCCATTTCTACTGGACCTCAGAGTTCCAGACACGTATTCATCATATCCGACTCATACGCCACCAGCGGTCATCATCGATCCAGTGTTGTCCGTTTCCCTTCATGCGATTCTATGTTTCTGTCGAGTAATTCATTGAATCGCTAGTAATAATGTTAAAACCCTGTCATTCACAGAAGCCCAAGAAAACTCAGGATATTCTTAATCTGTAAATAGAATCATTCTCACATCAATATATCTCTTTTAAAATTATGTTGTTATTCATTTAGGCATTAATCAATATCATGTTTCATACAATTCAGTATTTGTCACTGAGCTCCTGTTGGCCTTCTGTGATTCTACATGGAACTCTCAAGTAATATAATGAATTCTCTGAATAATAAAATCATGGAACCCAAGACCAGAAACGGGATTTACTCACGCTGTTCTCTGTGCATCTAACAGAGGGATGCGACCACCGAGCTCGCCACCAGGCAGGATTGCTTACATCAGCTCAAATGTGTCCATTTTGAGACATGAAAAGCACCGTCGATGATAAAAAATAAAATAAAATAAAATGTTCATTTCCATTGATTCTTGCTTTCCACATTTCATTTACTCGGTCATTGAGATATCTAAGAATGGTGCATAACATTGATTTTTGTTTGTTTTAACAACAACAGCAACAAAAATCCTCAGCCTTAAGATTGACCCAGAACCATAAAACGGACTCTGACCTGTTCATGTCTAAATGACTACTGGCTAGAGAAGTGACCGTCCTGATCTATTTAGCTCTTAATGGGTGTCAGGGTTTGCAATTTTCATTGTCATTTCTTGCCTATACACCGGTCTTCAGGGCTGAACAGTGCTTCACGGGCCTATGTTTATGACTATTCACTTTCCTCAGTGGTTCTACCCTTGATCCGCTTGTAATAATAAATATGAAATGTATCACCCAGTGAAACCATTATCTTTGTGCTTTCCGAACACCTGTCCATAGGATCAAATGAGCGGAAAGAAGGACTGTGTATTGAATGGGACCTCCGCGATCGACATAAATACTATCAATCACCCACAACTGACCCGCCACCAGTCATTCTCACAGGCAGATAAAGACCAGCTTTGCCTTTATTCATTTCTACATTTGTATCAATTCAATCATTAATTCATTGAATATAGTAAAATACCTGATTAACAATGACCAAAGAATCAACCAGTTGGATATTCCTAACTTCTAACTATAGAATAATTGCCAACATAGATTATCTCTCTCTCATTAATCAATCTAAGTGTTACATAGTATCAATAATCAATATGTCTCGTATTTATCACTGGGCCATAATTTACTTTTTGATTATTTTTTTAAAGATATTATTTATTTATTTAACACAGAGAGAGATCACAGGTAGGCAGAGAGGCAGACAGAGAGAGAGAGGGAAGCAGGCTTCTTGCTGAGCAGAGAGCCCGATGCGGGGCTCGATCCCAGGACCCTAAGATCATGACCTGAGCCGAAGGCAGGGGCTTAACCCACTGAGCCACCCAGGTGCCTTACTTTTTGATGATATTTATAAATTTTCAATAATACTGTGAATATCCTTAAACAAACGGCCCAAACCAAGACAAAATCTCTAATTACTACTCACCTTGCTTCACTCTCCTAAGACGCAGGCAACATAACGACCGTGATCAGGGCAGAGGTGAAATCAGCTGGAGCATCTGTTCTGAAGTGTACCTACCAAGCAGAGAACATGAGAAAAAAATGAGACGTTCTTCCACTACCCTTGCTTTACATCTGTCATTTGGTCAGGCCTTCAGGAAATCGTTACTGGAGAATATTCATTTCATTCCCGTTTATAAAAAGGAACCGCTTCGAAGTTCATCAACATTGTCAGTAACATGACCTGTCTATACCATCCAAGCCAAAGAGGGAGCAGTCATGTACCATTTATTTCTCTATGGACTTCAGCATTTTCAAATTATATTAACAGTACTTCTTGTCTTCCCGCATATATTTAAAATTGGACAATATTTCTACAATTCACTTTTTTAAAATATATTTTCTCATTGGTGTTTCACTGATCCAATTACAATCAAGAAGGGAAATGCACGGAGAGAAAGACCCCATCTCTTCCATGGTGGACCTCAGAATTCCAGACACGCATCATTCATCATCCATGATTCGTACGCCGGCAGTTATCACAGACCCAGAAAGACTGCATTCTCTTCATTCATTTCTCCATTGTTTATTAGTTCATTAATTCACTAATTATAAAACTGTATGATTCACAAAAACTCAAAAGGGCCTTGATCGCCCTGATAGATATCTGGAACCATTCCCATGTTATACCTCCATCATATTTATTATCAGTTTTTCATAAATGTTTTAATCAGTGGAACACTTCATTTCTTATCTCTCACCAGTACACAGCTGGCCATTTGAGTATTACTACCCAGGAATCTGAGCTGATTTCATCTTTTTTATTACTGCAGTAAAAAGGGTTGGACACACCACCCAAATCAAAACAAAAACTTTGGTTATTACTCATACTGGTCTTCCAACTCCTAAAACAAAGACGCAAACCTGGAACTCATGATCAGGGAAGAATCCTAGCTCAGGTGTGCAGCGTCTGCCCTTGGGAGTGTACGGCAGAGCACGCGACAACACAGGCTGAGACCCTGTTTCCACTGGTCTTCGCCTTTCCCCTCCCACACAGTCAGTCATCTGGGATCTGGGCCATCATTAATTTGGTGTATGTATGTTTTCCCTTAAGAAAACAAACTTCAAATTACCACTGACCCAGACGACAAGCACTATCTGTGACTTATCCTGTCTATACCATCCTCAGCTGTATAGGTAACAGCTATGCACAACGTGCTTCTAACTGCACATCAGGGTTTTCATACTATAGTAATAGTATTAATTATTAATCACTAATAATAAATTAATAAATTGAGTCCTAGTTATTGCCTAACCACATCTTTTTATAACTAGACAATGCTTCCCTCTCTTCATCATTTTTCTTAATTTATTTATAGGACCTCTTATTTACCTATATGTAAATTTACATTTACATATATGTAAATACATTGTATCTGTATATGTATACTTACATATATGTATATGTAACGATACATATAATGCATGTACTCTAAGACCAAAAACAAGATCTTGCTATGTTCCTGACATCTGTCTGTTACAAATAATAATGAGAACGGACTAGATTAATTTTCTGTTGGACCTCAGAGTTTCACGTGTTCTTTGTACAGGACTCATACCACCAGTGGTCATCATCGATCCAATACTGTCCCTCCTTCTATGTGACATTCTTTTGGAGATTGAGTGAATCACTAGTTCACTGATAATTTAAAATCCTATTATTCACAAAAAATGAAATGAGTTTTTATGTCCTTAAACTGAATATACATCAGTATCCTTCATTAATTATCTCAGTTTTCCATACATGCATTAATCAATACAGTGTTTTCTCAAATTCAGTATTTATCACAGAGCTACAGTTAGCCTTCTGTGATTCTACATGGAATTTTTGAATAATACGGCAAATGAGCCGCAAAAAATCACTGAAACAAAGAAAAGAAATCGGACTATGACTCACATGGGACCCTGTGCCTCTGTCACACCGAAGCTATCGTAGAGCTCGCCACCTTGGAATAATGCTTGGTTAGCTCAAATCTGTCCATTCTGAGAAGTACAAACCATAGTCAATGACAGAAAAAATGATAAAAATTTAATCTCCATTGATACTTGCCTTCCACATTGATGTTCCTCAGTCTTTTAGGAATCCAAAAATTTTCATAACATAGATCTTTGTCTCTTAACAAAAAGGAAAACTTCAAACTTGATACGGACCCAGAACAATGAAACTGACCCTTAATTATTCATGTCTATATAATCCTTAGCAAAAGAAGGGAAAGCCAGGAAACAACTATTTCATGAAGGGCATCAGTGTCTGTGAATTTTATTACTGACATGACAATATTATGTTCAGAATTAGGGAATAACTAACTTTTTCCTCTTAATTTATTGTTTATATTTTCTTTAATGATTCTTCTTTACATATATTCTAATTTTTTATTGTTTTTTCCTTTTTTTTTATTGTGTCATGTTTGTCACCATACAATGCCTCATTAGTTTTTGATGTAGTGTGCCAAGATTCATTGTTTATGTACAACCCCCAGTGCTCCATCTTTAATGATTCTATCACTGACCTATCAATAATAACAAATATAAATATATTCATCCAAGGGGTACCTTCATGGCTCAGTCGGTTAAGTGCCTGACTTCTGATTTTGGCACAGGTCATGTTCTCAGGATCATGGGATCTAGCCCCGTGTCAGACAGATACGAGGTTGAAATGAAGTGTTCCACTGATTAAAACATGCTGGGCATGGTGCCTCCTTAGGATTCTCTCTCTCCCTTTCTGCCCCTCCTTTCTAAAAATAAGTCAGTAAATAAACAAATATATAAATTCATCCAGCATAAGGATGTAATCTTTATACATTCCTAGCATCTATCTGTAGGATCAAATAAACAGAGAAAATAGAATACTAATTATATTGCACCTCCAGGTTCCAGACACATACTGTCCGTTGTCCATTGACTCCTCCCCCACTGGTCACCGCCACTGGTTCCAACAGAGGTTACTTTATTCACTTGTACATCTCTATCAATTAAAACATAACTTCATTGGTCATAATAAAATCAATACACTATTCAGAAAAACTGAGGCATATGATACTTGAATATTCCTAAATTCTTCCTATAGAATCACTGCCAAAAGAGATCATATTGCTTTCAATAATAAATGTTATGTATTATTAATTAATCAACATAATGTTTCATATCATATTTATCACTGAGCCATAATTAATATTTCCTTATATTTATTATGTTTTAATCAGACCATGAAAGCCCTTAAACAAATGACCCAAACCAAGGAAAAAACGTTGATCATTACTCACGTTAGTCTCTTTCCTGTAAGAGGGAACATGGTGACCTGGACCAAAATGAAGGCAGAAATCACCTTGACCTTCTATTCTGAAAAGTACCAAGCACAAAAAGTGATAAAAAGATTAAGACTTTCTCTCAACTGATCCATATTCCTGTCTACTGATTCTTTCATGGTTCAATTGTACTAAGAAAAGCAAATGCATGAAGAGAAGGAAGCCATCTCTCCTGTGCTGGACCTCAGAGTTTCAGACACGTATCACTCATCATCCGTGACTCATACGCCGGCAGTTATCATCCCCGATCCAGAAAAGACGGCATTCTCTTCATTCATTTCAATATTGTTTATTGACTCACTTATTAACTCACTAATGATAATATTTAAGTTCCATTATTTACAAGCCCCCATAAGGACTTGATATCCCTAATATGCTTCTAGATCCATCTTTGTATCACTGTATCCCTACCATGTATCGGTATCTCCTACATGCTTCCTAAAAATCTCCTATTTGTCAGTAGGATAAAGACGGCCCTCTTTGATTGTATTTCAAATACTGGATTACTACAGTAAATATCCTTAGACCAACAACCCAAACCAAGAGAAGAAATGTGATTATGCTTACACGGGTCTCCAGTCTCCTAAAACAGATGCAAACGTAGAGGTCAGGATCAAGGGAGAAATCCTTAAATCAGGTCCAGTGTCTCTTCTAAGAAGTACAAAGCAAAGCAGGTGATAAAAACGGTTGAGACATTCTCTCCATTTATGCCAGCTTCAACGTTCACACAGGTCTCTAGGCAATCATTAATCTGGTGTACGTACTTCAGTCTGTTATGAAAACCAACGACTTCGATCATGCCACTGAGCCAGAATGTGGACATGATCTAATTCATGTCTTGTAGACATTCATGTAGACATTCACTGTCTACATCATCCCTACCCTAAGTGGTAACAGTCAAATAGCATCTGTTTCTACCTGAACTACCGGGTTTCCATAATAGAGTCATAGTATTCCTTGCCTCACCACCTATTTTTGTAATTGGACAATGCTTTACTCTAGTCCTCTTTATTTATTTATTTATTTATAGATTCTCACATTTATCCCATTGTAATAATAAGATAAAAATGCATAAACACCAAGACCAACAGCAAACCTTTCATTTGTTCCTGGTATCTGTCTATAGGATGCCTTCAGACTGGGAATGGAGGAGACCAGGTTGGACCTCAGAGTTCCAGACACGTATTCATCGTACACGACTCATACGCCACCAGCGGTCATCATCGATCCAATATCGTCCCTCTTTTTCTATTTGTTAATTGATCAAATCATTAATTCACTACTAATTTTTAAGTGGTACGATTCCGAAGAGACTTGGTACATACAAGTCTCAAATCTGTACACAGAATTAACCTCACATCAGTGTATCTCATCATTGTCTTCAGACTACAGACCTGCGTTCACTAATGTGCTTCGTATGTTCTGTATTTAACACGGAGATCCAGCTGCCTTCCTTAATTCTATTTTGCGTGTTTTAATAAATAATACTAATAAATAATAAATTAGTAATTTATAACCAACAGTGAGTAACCTTTAAAAAATCCCCTTAAACTGAGAAGAGAACGTCAACTGTCACTCACATTAATCTCCATCCTCCTGTTACACAGAAGCAACCACAGACCTCGCACCCAGGAAATCGCCGAATCATCTCATGTGCGTTCATTCTGAGGAGTACAGAACACAGCGGAAGATTAAAAAAAAAAAAAAATGGAACCTAATCCACACTGTTCCTTGCTTTCTGTATTTCATTTACCCAGTATTTGATATTCATTACTGTTTCTTTACATACGTATGGTCATCTTATAAAAATCCGATCTTTGGTTTGAGAATCAATTAAAGTGATTCCCACTTAGGCACGCCTCTAGACCCATGGCCAAAGAGATGACCTTTGGTTCACTTATTTCTTAATGGGCATCAATCAGTTTTTCCAGTTTTTCACATTAATATATTCTGCCTTGATACCTGGTTTGTATTTGGACAATACCTCATGCTATTCTTCCTTATGTGTTTATCTGTATTTGCACGATGGTTCTATCACTGATCCATTAATAATAACGTCTGTATCTATGAAACAAAACAAGAATGTGATCTTGTACTTGACAGCTCTCTATAGAATCGATTTCAAGAGAAGGAACAGATCAAATTACGTTGTGTTGGACCTCAGAGTTTCAGACACATAGTTTCATCGTCCATGACTCCTATGCCACCGTCCTCATCACTGGTCCAGGACTGAGTCTCTTCTTAGTTCATTTCTACTTTTGTATCCCTGAAATCATCAGTTCCTTGGCAATTATAAAAATAATACCCCTGGGGGAAAAAAAAATATATATATATGTTTATAAAAAATAAAATTATAAAAAAATAAAAAAAAAAAAAATCTTTAAAAAAAAAATAATACATGGGGGGCACCTGGGTGGCTCAGCGGGTTAAGCCTCTGCCTTCGGCTCAGGTCATGATCCCAGAGTCCTGGGATCAAGCCCCACATCAGGCTCTCCACTCAGCGGGGAGCCTGCTTCTCCCTCTCTCTGCCTGCCTTTCTGCCTACTTGTGATCTCTGTCTGTCAAATAAATAAATAAAATCTTTTAAAAAAAAATACATGGTTCACATGAACCACAAAATAAGATCCTTGAATATCTCTAATGTCAGTTAACAGAATCATTATCCAAACGGCGTGCATCATCTCCATCTCATACATTACTCATCAGTCAACGTAATGGGTCTCATCCCACTTGCCGTGAGGCCTCGGTTTTTTTTTAATCAATTTAATGCTTTTTAATGATACCATGATTACCCTGAAACAAGTGGCCCTTTCCAAGACGACCATTTTGACCATTATGCGCCTCCATCTCTTTCAGTACTCAAAGGGAACATCACGGTCTTGATCACGGCGGAAGCTGAAAACAGCTCAAGTGTCTGTTCTGAAGAGTGACAAGCAGGAAGATGATAAAAATTTTGAGCTCTTCTCTCCACTGATTCATATACCCCACTGTTCACCTGCCGTCATTTAGGCATTTATGAAATTATTGTAATTTTCCCCTTAACACATCAAATGTCAACGCTGTAACAGATTCCAGTAATTACGACTTATTCCCCACATCATTCCTACTCAGACATGGATCTTTTATTATCCATTCTGATGCACACTAATATCATTTTACTTATTATATATTACAGCAATGAACAATGCTTCACCCTTTTCATATTTATCTATTATTTGTTTGTATATTTTTGTCACTATTTTTTAACAATACTGTTAGACATGCATGTCTGGACATCTCTCCCTAGATCACTTCCAGTAGGGGAAAGGACTAGATTTCCTATGTGTCGGAACCCAGAATTCCAGACCTGTGATGTTCATCACCCAAGACCCTTATGCCACTACTCGTCATCATTTACCCAGGCATGTCCCTCATGATCTCCAAATCATGTCTACATGTTTTTATTAATTCATCAATTCACTAATAATAACAAAACAATACCTAGGGGTCACAAAACCTCAAAACAAGTCCTTCCATATCTCTCACATTTGTCTGCAGAGTTAATTCCCACTAACAATATGTATCATTCATTAACTGACCTCAGTGTTTTTCCTACATAGGTTAATTAACACAATGTTTCTTATTAACCTGATTCTAATTATTGGGCCATGGCTGGTAATCAGTAGTTAGACTTCGCAACTTTTTTTAATAATGAGAGTGAAAACCTTTTTGAAAAACCACCAAACCAAGAAAAGAATTTTGACTCTTACTCTCAATGGGCTCCATGCTCTTGACACACAGACTCGACCACGAAGCTGGCGACTAGGGTAGATCGCTTCTGTCAGCTGACGGTGACCATTCTAAGGAGTACAAGACAGAGCAGGGGATAAAAGATTGAGACCTTACGTTCCTTCATCCCCGTATCCCACCTTTCACTCAGTCTGTCATTTAGGCAAGTGGCGATTTGAGATAATGTATATTTCTTTCCTATTAAGTAAACAAACAATATCCATCCTGCCCCTGCCAAAAGGACACTGGTTCTTAACACGGTACATACCACCAACCTTAGCCAAAGAGACAACACCCTTAATACCATCTCTTTCCTAATGGATATCAGTCTTTTCGATATAATTAATGTATTATTATATTATAGTAATTGTTGCCTAACCACCTATTTTCATAATTAGACAAGGCTTCACCTTCTCTTCATTTAAATTTGTTTACACATCTGTGTATTAATAATCTCACTGATCCAATTATAAAAATTGGAAGGAAATTCATGAATATAATGACAAAAACCACGGTCTTTATATATTCCTGACTCTGCCTCTAGACCACATCAAACAGGGACAACGGAGCAGAGTCCATCTGTGTTGGACCTCAGAGTTCCAGACACGTATTCATCGTAAGTGACTCATACGCCACCAGTGGTCATCATCGATCCAATATCGTCCCTCTTGGTCACCTTTCGTTTCTCCATTATTTACTGACCAATTCATAATTCAGTAATTATAATTTTAACAATGATTATTCCCAGAAACTACATGGAGCTTAGAAATTCCATGTATCTATTTAGAACCATTCTCATTTCTGTATCACGTCCATTAATTATTCTCAATTCGTATTATACGCATTAATCAATACAACGCTTTGTATCAATCCTATATTGCTCAGTGGGCTAATTGGATTCTACTGATTCTACGCCACGGTTTTCAATGATGCACTGAATCCTGCTGCAAAGAACAGAAACTAAGACCAAAACTTCAACTATGACTCACATGGTCTCCGTGTTCCTAACACATGAACGCAACCTGAGATCTCATGACGAAGAAGAACCCTTCCATCTGCTTGCCAGGTCCTTTCTAAGGAGTACAGAGGAGCACAAACAAGAGAAAATTTCAGATCCTGTCTCCATTGGTCCTTCTTTCCTACATTTCTTGTATTCATTTAGACATGCATACATCTTTCATAATGTGGTTTTTCTTTTACCTAAGGGAAAGCTTAAACCTGAAGCTGATCAATAGCAATGATAAGGGCTCTTCCTTATCAATGCTTATATAATTCTTAAGCAAAAAGGCAAAAATGTTTATTCTATTTACTGCTAAATGAGCATTCTTGCTCACTTCTTCTATGTCACCACATATATTCCAAGCTGGACAATACTTCACCCTATTTATGTTTTTTTTATGTTTTCAATGCTTTGATTACTGCTTCCTTCATAACCAGAAATCTAAGGATATGAACCCAAAATAAGAGTATGAGCTTTGTAGACAATTATCATATGATCTCCCTGATATGAGGAAGTTGAGAGGCAGAGTGGGGGGTTTGGGGGCGTAGGAAAGGAACAAAAGAAACAAGATGGGATCGGGAGGGAGACAAACCGTAAGAGACTCTTAACCTCACAAAACAAACTGAGGGTTGCCAGTAGAGGGGGTTAGGGAGAGGGTGGTGAGATTATGGACATTGGGGAGGGTATGTGCTATGGTGAGTGCTGTGAAGTGTGTAAGCCTGATGATTCACAGACCTGTACCCCTGGGGCTAATAATATATTATATGTTAATAAAAAAATTAAAAATTTTTTAAAAAAGAATATGAGCTTTGTATATTTCTACATTGACCCATGGGGTCACTTAAAACAGAAAACAGGGGTCCCTGGGTGGCTCAGTGGGTTAAAGCCTCTGCCTTCGGCTCAGGTCATGATCTCAGGGTCCTGGGATCGAGCCCCGCATTGGGCTCTCTGCCGAGCAGGGAGCCTGCTTCCTCCTCTCTCTCTCTCTGCCTGCCCCTCTGCCTACTTGTGATCTCTGTCAATTAAATAAATAAAATCTTTAAAAAAAAAAACAAAAAAAAAAAACAGAAAACAAGCTAGATTTTGTTTTGCATGGATTCAGAGTTACAGGCATGTAACACCCAACCACGGAGGATTCCTACACCACCAGTTTTCACCATCGATCTAGGTTTGGGTCTCCTTTTCTTCATCTGTTTCTACATTTCTAACAATTAAATTATTAATTCATTGGTAATAAAAATCAATGCGTGATTTGGAAAAATCACAAAAAAACCCTTGAATAAGCCTAACTTCTATCTGTAGAATCGTGCACCAAACAGATTGCATCTTTCACTAGTCAACCCCGATATTGTACATTATCAGTGAATCAACATTAATATTTCATATCGTATTTCTCATCAGACCATAGTTAACTTTTTTATTTTATTTACTACTTTACTACTTTTAAATGATATTGTGAATGCTCTTAAACAAATCACCGAAAACAAGGTCTTTGACAATTATTTGCCTTGATCTCTTTTCTAACACAAAGATATCCTAACAGTCTTAATCACCGTGGATGATAAAATCAGCTCAGTGATTTTATCTCCCTCAGAAGAGATGACAAAATATGATACAGTAGACAATATGATAAAAAAATTGAGTTATTGTCTCTATATTTTCCATCACTCGTTTGTATAGGCAGCTGGGCATTTATTAATTTTTGGTAATATTTATTTACTTTTCCATTAATAAACTCCAAATGGATTCCTGACTGAGAGCAGTAACTATTACCTATCACTGTCTAAATCACCCTTCGTCAAATACAAAATATACTTGGTCCTTTTTTTATCTATTCCTTTACACTCATATGCCTTTTCCTTAGTATATATTTTGTTTGATGAACAGAGCTTCATTCTCTCCATATTTAGTCATTTATATATGTTTTTCTTCCACTGATACTTTCATAATAGTATTTTAAAGCTTCATGAACTCAAAGGCCAAGAACGAAATCCTTATATACTCCTGACACCCATCCGTAGTTTCCCTTCATAAAGCACAAGGGACCAGATTCCAGTTGTGTTGGACCTTTGAGCTCCAGAAAAACGTCTCTCATACGTGACTCGTGTCTCACCCATCATTACTGGTGGTCCAGGACTGGCTTGCTTTCTCCATGACAACCTACATTTGTTCACCATTTAATTCATCGATGAAGAAATACACACAAATCAGACACACACACACAAAAGAATATGATTCTTTAGTAGCTCTAACCTCCATATACACAATCTATTTCCACTGAGACCAAATTTCTTTCATTAACTCAGCTTAGTATTTCACATATGCATTCATCAACGCTGCTTCACATTAACCTTGCATTTAACACTGGCATAGCTCACCTTCTTTCATTATATTTAATACTTTTTTTTAAGTTTTTATTTCAACTCCAGCTAGTGAACATGCAAGGTTGTATTAGTTCCAGGTGCACAATACAGTGATTCAACACTCGCATTCAACACCCAGCGCTCATCATGAGTGTGTGCTCCTTAATGCCCATCCACTCACTGCTCAAGCATCCCCTGCCCTCAGCTTCCCCTTAGTACCATCAGTTTGTTCTCGGAAGTTAGGAGTCGGTTTCTTGGTTTGCCCTTCTCTGTCTCTTTCCCCTGTGTTTGTTTTGTTTCTTAAACTGCACATGAGTGAAATCGTATGGTATCTGTCTTTCTCATACTACTTATTTCTAGCATGATATTCTCTACCTCCATCCACGTCATTCCAAATGGCGATATTTCATTCATTTTTGTATGGTGATATGAATTTTTAATAACACAGTAAAAATGTTTTTTGAAATGATAGCACTGTGTGGTACTCAACTAATGAATCACTGAACATTTTACCAAAAACTAATGATGTACTATGAGTGGCTAATTGAACTTAAAATACATACATAAAAATGCGACAGTACTCTAGCCAAGAACAACACTGATTATTACTCACACTGGTCTCCCTCTTCCTAACACACAGAGCTCCTGACCATTTAAGATTTTAAATTAACTGGAATACTTCCTTTCTGTGGAAGGCAGAGGCCAGAACAGCAGCAACAACAAAAGGACAGAGACACTCTCTCCACTGGCCCTTAATTCCATCTGTGTTTATTCAGTCATGTAGGCAATTAGTAAGTTGTGATCATGTCTATTTTATTTTCTCTTAAGGGGACAAATCATGTTAGTATGGCCAATGACAAAGAATATGAACATTGATGGCTACACCTTATGGCCTGTGTCATACTCAGCAAAAGGGGCAACATGCTTCTGTCATTTATTTTCACTAATTGTCAGGGTTTGCAATACATATTAATTATACTTCGTACCTTGCCCACATATTTTTTGTAAGTGGACAATGATTTACTCCCCTCCTCTTTATTTGTAATATGTTTATTGCTATTTTCACTGATCCGATTATATTTGTAGAATGAAAGTGAATAAAAACCAAGACCAAAAAAAGAAGACCCTTGTGTATCCTGATATTGGTATAGGACCATGTCAGCAACATGGAATGGACTTGTTTTGTGCTGGTCCTCAGAGTTCCAGACACACACGACTCCTGTACCCTCAGCTGCCATCATTGGTCCAGGACTGGCTCTTTTTTCTATTGTCATCTGTGTCTGTTTATTGTAATTAACTGCCTAATACAGAAATAAACATAAGTCACCAAAAAAAAAAAAAAAATCACAAGATCCTTGAATATCCCTACCACCCATCCATGCAGTCGTTTCCACTGAGGAGAAACTCGTTCATTAACTCACTCAGGGTTTCCGCATAAGGATTAACATCGGATTGGCTCACAACAACGATACTTGATTCCGTATGTTTGGGCTTCTCAATTGAATCAAACACTTTTTGAGAACAGAGTAATTAAATCAAACAGAATGGAACGTTCCATCCAAGGCGAGGACACCGACCAGTACTCACACTGCTCGCTACGCTCCCACGACACAGAAGCGCGCACAGAACCGCGATACATGCGGATGCGTGAAGGAGCTCGAGCGCGCGGGTTCTGAGGAGTAGAGAGCGGAGAGCGTGTTAACAAACCGCAACCCCGTCTTCCCTGATCCTTGCCGCTCCAGTTCCCTTTCCAGGGATGTAGGCAATCATTAATGAGGCGTAACTCTATGAATTCATTTTCTCTTAAGAAAATTGGAACCACTTAGATTCATTCCCCAACCCAGAAAATGAACATTGATTAGTAATCAATTAGTAAGTCACGCAACCATTTACTCGTCTTCGGACTTCACACTGTTTTCAAATTTATTGACACTATTCTTACCTTGCCACCTATTTTTATAATTAGAGCATGCTTTCCCATATTCCTCTTTACTTGTTTATATTTATATGTATTTGTTCAGTGACCATGTCAATGCTCCGATTATCATCACAGATGAAAATGCATGAACAAATACGGAGACCAAAAACAAGATCTCCGTATCTTCTGGAGTTTCGCCTACGGCATCTTTTCAAACAAAGAGAACGCACCAAACTGTGTAACTGGACCTCAGAGTTTCAGACACATGTTACTCATCATCATCCATGACTCATACGCCACCAGTCATCATCATCGGCCCAGGACTGGTCCTCTTTCTCTTTGTTCACCAAGTTGTTTATGAATGCACACTAGTGATGCAGTAAATATTCTTAAGCAAACCACCCAACCCAACCCAAGAACTTTGACGATTACTCACGTTGGTGTCTACGTTCCCAGTGCATCGATGCAGGCCCAGAGTTCATGACCATGGAAGATGCTTCCATCAGGATAAGCGCGTCCATTCTAAGAAGTACAGGGCAGAGCAGTAGATAGAGAAAATTAAGCCCTTATCTACACTTACCCTTCCTTTCCATGTCATTTACTCAATGTTCTACATATGTGTCAATTTTCCATTATTTCTCTTTCCTACAAGCAAAGGGAAGAACCTTGAACTTGGGACTGATTCAGAATTTTAAAATAATTGACTTTTAATTACCTGTGTCTCCATAATTCTTAGCCAAGTAGTAACAACCTTGATCCGTTTCTTAATGGGCATTGATGTTTTTAATTTTTATTAATAATATGTCCTGCCTCCAACATGTGTTCCTAATTGGACAGTGCTTCATTTTCTCTTTATTTATTTATATTTCTTAAATGGTTCTAACAATGATCCATTGAGGATAATGAATTCTATAAAGCCAAAATAATACATTAGATACAGATATGGAACTATACAGGTATACAGATAATAAATCTGTAAAGCCAAAATGAGAACATGACCTTTACATATTTCTGATGTCTGCCCATAAGATCATTTCCAAAAGAGGGGTTAGACTAATTATGTATTGTGTTGCATCTCAGAGTTTTAGATACTTCTTTTTCCATTGCCCATGACTCTTACACCATCTCTCTTAACTGTAGAGAACAAACTAAGGGTTGCCAGAGGGGAGGTGTGTAGGGGGAAGGAGTCATTGGGTGGTAAGACATTAAGGAGGGCGCTGGGATGTAATGAGCTCTGGGTGTTTTCTGCAACAGATGAATCAGTAAATCCTATCCCCAAATTAATAATATACTATATGCTAACTAACCTGAATTTAAATAAAATTTAAAAAACCAAGCACACATACTATGATGTATTACCATCTATCTCATCCTTACCCCAAAATGGAACCCCCTGATCCATTTATTAAGGAACTCCACTGTCTGCAAGTTCTAGTAAGTCTTGCCTCACCACGTATTTTCATAGTTGGATACACTTTACCCTTTTCATCTTTATGAACGGACGTGTCTGTTTCTCTCATTTATTCATGACGACAATAAAATCAAAATCCATGAAACACCAAGGCAAAGAACATGATCCTTGAGCGTTCCTGAAATCTACAGGTTCAGTCCCACAGATACAAACACTTAAATCCCTTTTTGTAATGGACCTCGGGAGGTCATAGATGTCTTGATCATAAAATTTGGTTCAGCACGCATTCCGTTCACAACGCAGGTCCACGATTTGCCCTCTTTCCGTGTAATTTCTTTCTTCTTTTTATATATAGTCACCACATGCACCAGAACTAAAGCACTGTCTACCACTTACATCTCCTACGTGCTTCTGCCTCATAATAAAGGTGGTTTACATGTGTATCCGTGAAGGAATGTGTAGGGGAAAACTGAAATAGAAATTTAAGGAACTATAAAAATGAGTGACATGGGGGCGCCTGGGTGGCTCAGTGGTTTAAAGCCTCTGCCTTCGGCTCAGGTCATGATCCCAGAGTCCTGGGATCGAGCCCCGCATCGGGCTCTCTGCTCAGCAGGGAGCCTGCTTCCTCCTCTTTCTCTCTGCCTATCTCTCCACCTGCTGTGATCTCTGTCTGTCAAATAAATAAATAAAATCTTTAAAAAAAAAAATGAGTGACGTGGACTTGATCTTTTTTTAACATCATCCCGATCGGTGAGGTGGATCGGGGGATGGGGAATCCCGGGACGGGGATGAAGGAGCACCAGGTGACCCATGTAAGTGCTGAATCACTAGGCTGTACTCCCGGAGACTAATACCACGCTGCACGCTAACGAACAGGGATTGAAATAAACCGTTCTTTAAAAAGTATTAAATATAATGAAAGAGATGCTGAGGATGAGGCCAGCACTCTACAGTTTATTTTTTTTTAAGATTTTATTTATTTATTTATTTATTTTGACAGACAGAGATCACAATTAGGCAGAGAGGCAGGCAGCGAGGGGGTGGGGGGAGCAGGCTCCCCGCTGAGCAGAGAGCCCGATGCGGGGCTCGATCCCAGGATCCTGGAATCATGACCTGAGCCGAAGGCAGAGGCTTTAACCCACTGAGCCACCCAGGCGCCCCAGCACTCTACAGTTTAACCAGCTTTCAGGGGACTGTGGTGTTCCCTCCAGTCTGAGAACCACTGCTCTATAGTCAGCAACACAGAAAGGGAACAGCTTTTGCCGACTGATCTCTTAACAAAAGGGAAGGTTTCCCAATTGTATGAACAGAAATGTACACTTCACATTTTTTCTTAATTAATCCAGCATTAATTACATTATCTATTTACCTACCACCATTTATCTATCCATCTACTTATCTATCATCTACTGATTTTTTAATTGGTTCCCTTAGAATAATATACTGAATTCCCAGGAGCCACTTAAACCACTTTTGCACGTTACTGAAGTCTAGCTACAGCCTTATTCCTATAGATGTGATATACCGAATTTCCTTTTGAAATGGACTTTCAGTGAAGAAACAAGTAAATCACAAGACACATTCAGAAAGCATCCTAGTCACAACATGGATCCTTGCTTGGCCCTTTTCTTTTCAAGTTTGTATTTAAATTCCAGTTAGTTAACATAGAGTGTAATATTAGTTTCAAGAGTAGAAATGTACAGATTCATCACTTAGATACAACACGCAGTGCTCATCACAAGTGCCTTCCTCAATACCCATCCCCCACTGAGCCCATTCCCCCACCCACCTCCCCTCTAGCAATCCTCATTTGGTCTTACCGAGTTGAGTCTGCTTTATGGTTTCCCTCTCTCCTTTTCTCTCCCTATGGTCATCTGTTACATTTCTTAAATTCCAGTGAGTGAAATTATACAGCAAATCTAACTGACTTGCTTCACTTAGCATTAGACACTCGAGCCCTACCCATGTCATTGCAAATGGCAAGATTTCATTCTTGTTGATGGCTGAGTAATATTCCATTGTATGTATATACCAAAATTTCTTTGTCGATGGACATTGGGTCTCTTTCTCTATTTCGGCTATTGTGGACCTTGCTGCTATAAACATCAGGGTGCACGTGTCTCTCTGAATCAACATTTCTGTATCCTTTGGGTAAATGCCTAGTAGTGCAATTGTTGAATCATAGGGTAGCTCTATTTTTAACCTTCTGAGGAACCTCCACACTTTTTCATTAACTTGTACATTCTTTAAAGATGAAAATACAACCATGAGCCCATTATCCACTGCCCATCCAAAGACTGTACCTGACCATCTTTCTATGAGTTGTTTCATTGATTTAGCAACTTAGATCTTTTCCACAGAAAAATGTTTATAAACTGTGGTGCCAACCTAAGATGGAAAATTAGATATTTAAGAAAGTGAATATAAAATCCTCCAACCTTTAAAACAAATCATATTGAAATTGGTTACTTCATAAACTTTGCCACATATCTCCATCATAGGCCCGTATCTGGTCTTCCCTGATTTGGTTCATGCATGTCAATATTTATCAATAGCTTTAATATTTATTCATTCATTCTAACTCATAAAAAATTGACAAACTAGTCACTTAAAAAAAAATGAAAATGGTTTTAAAAAAAAATGGAACTTCTCTAACTTCCCAGAAGCCCAGAATGGAAATGCTATTGTGTACGTATCTGTTCAGTTCTCCTGACTCAAGAGGGTTGGGATTTGTGCCTGGGGAGGGACAAAACATGAGCAGAATTCCTGGATCATTCATCACCACCCATGGGCTTCGTCTCCTTCTACTGCATTTGCTTATTAACTTATTTATTAATTTATAATGATGAAATGTTCCCTCTTGTATCCGAACTCAAGATTATAAACCTAATTAATAAAAACTGTGTCAAGTCGCTCACTATCATAAATGACAAAGGACTACATATTTCTTGTGCAAAGTTACTGAGAAATTATCGATAAATATAGTTATATGTATTCAAAGTGTACAAAGTGACATTTGGTTTACACACACATTGTGGAACGATGTGTGTGAACACAGGAGAACACAGTGAAGCCGACCGGATTGGTCATAACTTGTTATATGATTTCATTTTGTCACTGGTTCATGCTTGACCCTCTTTAACACAGGTAGTTGATTACATTATGTAAACCTTTTTTTGTCCCCTATTTCTCAACTGAAAAAAAACAAAAACGCCTGTGACCCAGAGACAGCACAGAACAGGCATATCAACAACTACATACATCTGTCCCTACATCCCTTCTGATGAGGTTTAAACGCCTTAATATATTTTTAATGGACTTCCCTTTCTTTGAAATGAATTTGTAATGATATTAATGTCATCAAATGCACTATAGTTATTGCACATTTGGCCCCATTTTTCCTTCATTTACCCATACATTTTTTTAGTTGTTATTGCACTGCTAACTTTTAATAAGCAATCAGTATCTATGAAATCAAAAGCCCATGAATAAAATTCTGGGACTGCTCTAACAACGGCTTATAGGACCACCTGTAACAGAAGCAGGAGACTAGACTTCTTTCTGCACTGGATCACAAAGGTGTTGAGAAGCCTGATTCACCCTTGCCTTTTATACTATTAGTCATCAGTACTGGTCCAGATTTTGCCCTTTTTCTTCACTGAACCATAATTCTGCTCAGAGATTAATTCATTAATCCACTAATAATAAAAAAATGTCCATGAGGTTTTAAAAAGTGACTTTAATATCCCTATCATCTGTACATAACATCATTTTCTACACGGCAAGGAGTCTACATCTATTTTGCTAACTGACCTCAGTGTTGAATGTATGAATTAATCAACATGTTCATTTTAACCTTTTACTTTACCACTAGCGTGTGGTTGGCAGGGACTAATGTGAAACATCTGCCCATAGAATCATCTCCCCCAGCAATTCATTTCTTTCATTAACCGACCTCAATGTTTTGTCTATGAATTAATAAACACAATGTCTCAACTTATTTGCAGTTGGGGGCCGTGGTTGGCATTTCCCATTTTTTAACAATACAACAAGAACCCTTAAACAAACCACCCCAAAAACTGAGACAAGAACACTGACCATGACTCACATGGATCTCCATTCTCCAACACACAGACACAGCCATAGATCCTGCGATCACGGAATAATGCTCGAATCAGTCCATTTTTGGCGTACAGAGAAGAACAGATGAAAACAAAAAGCTTTAGACCTTCTCTCCACTGGCCTTGCAACCCACCTCTCATCTCGTCAGTCACATAGAGAATGTGTAATTAGCGGAACTGTTTATTAAGTGTCTCCTAATAAGTGAACAATAATGGCCTTGCCATTGACATAGAATATGAACACTGTTTATTACTATTTAACACTCCCATGTTACCCTACCATGCCTCCCCAGTCCTTTGCCAGGGAGGCAACACCTTTGTTTGTATCGTTTATTTCTTAATGGACAGGAGTGTGTTTTTAATACACATTAACAGTATTTCTCGTCTCACTACTTATTTTTGTAACTGGGCAATGCTGTATGACCTTTATCCTTATTTATAGACTGTTTGTTGATCATCTCATTGATCCAATCCTAAAAATATCGAATGCATGAACACGAACCCAAAACAGGATCTTTCTATACTCATGGTATCTGTCTATGAGATCACTTCACACGGGACTGTCGCCTAGACCACATTTCTGTTCCAGACACGTGTTCATCATACACGACTCATAATGCCACCAGTGGTCATCATCGAGCCAGTATTGTCCCTCTTTTTCTCCATTCAGTGCTACATTGTTTATTGACTAATTCATTAATTCACTAATAATAATTCTTAGATGCTATTATTCACAAAAATGCAAAAAGAGCCCTGATATCTCTTTTCTGTCCTTAGGCTCGTTCTCACATCCGTGCATCACTCTCGTTAACTATAACGTTTTAGTAAATGCATTAATCAGTGCAATCAACCCTTTAGTCAATATAATCAACTCCATAGTTGTCACTGGGCTACAGCTGCCCTTACTTGATTATTCTTCATACTTCTTAACGATATAGTGAAGATCTTAAATAAAGCACTAGCCAAAGAAGACAAACACGTTGACTACTACTCACACTGGTCTCTATGCTCCAAACATACAGACAGACAGCTGTGCTTCTGCAAGTGCTTCCAGCTGCTGGAGTTCGTCCATTCTGAGGAGCATAGAGCAGAACACATGGTAACAGGATGGATAGACACTCTGTAGACGCACAGATTTTACCTTCGTTTTGTCTGTCACGCAGGAATACAGCACATCGGGGTCATTATTAATTTTCCCTGAACGAGCAATATCGAACTTGACAGACCAAGAATAAGAACATTGGCTGTTACTTATGGTCTATACCCCCAACTTGAACCCATTTATATTTCTTAATAAACTCCAGTATTTTCAATAAATGTTAATAAATTGTATTATGAACAGACATGCTTCACTCCCTTAATATTATCACACTTGCACATTGATTCTTCTTCGAGCCGTTTGTTCCAGTAGAATCAAAACTCATGAAACTGAACCAGCGACATGGTCCTTGTTCTTGCCCTAACATCGGTCCATCAGACCACTTCCAAGAGAGGCAACAGACTGTATTTCTTTTTTCTTTGGTTGGACCTCAGAGTTTCAGACACGTAACATTCATCATCCGTGACTCATATGCCACCGATCGTCATCACTGGTCCAAATCTGGGCCTCTTTTTCTTCCTTCACTAATTCCGTAATTGACTAATGTTAATTTTTAAAACCCTGTGATTCACAGAAATCCAATAATGAGATCAATGAATATTCTGCCTCTACCTACAGGACCACCCGCCACATTATTCGATGTCTTACACCCGTGATGATCCGTACCTTACATTCGCATTAGCGAACGTTATATCCCACATTTCAAGGTTCCCGTGTTAAGGGTTTTCAATTGTATTTCACACTTTCAACAATATAGTGGATACCTTTTCAAAAGACTTTTAACCAAATACAAGAACTTGAACATTTACTCACATTCATCTCTAGGCTTAGAACACACGGGAAATCACAGACCTCCTGACCATGGAAATTGCTTCCATCAGCGGGAGTGCGTTGACTCTGAGGAGTGTTAACACAGAGCAGATAATTAAAAACTGAAACTTCTTCCCTGTTATACCTTGTTTTCCTCATTTCATTTTTCCAGCTAAATGGTGCTAATTAATTTTTCCCAACACGTACACATATGAAAATATCAACATACATATTACAAAATTAACAACCTCATCTCAAAAATGACCCAGGCTTACAAAATTGAATATTGCTTATCAGGGTCAGTATCTTACAAAAAGAGAGTGGTCCATTTGGTCCATTAATTAATTTGGTCCATTAATTTCACAACCTGCATCTGTTTCTTTAGGTTACATCAAGGATTTCTTGCCTCACCAAATATATTCAGAGTTGATAAGGCTTTGTCCTTTTTTTATTTGTTTATACGGTGTTTTATTGGTTCTATCATTGATTCGTGTATGTTAATAATATAGAAATCCATAAATCCCAAACAACAAGAACACTATCCTATATCGTACTCGCATCAACTCCCAGGATCACTGTGTTGGACCTCAGACTTCCAGACACGTAGCATTCATCGCATAGGACTCATACGCCACCAGCTGTCATCATTGGTCCAGGACTGGCCCTCTTTTCCTTTCTACTCCTCCATTAATTCACCAATCTACTAACAGTAATTAAATAAATATTTATGTATCGCAAAAATGCAAGGACAAAAACCTTCAGTATCCCTGTCCTTTTCCTTTAGAATCGTTGCCCAATTAAACAAACTTCTTCATTAACCGTCTTCTTTGTGGTAAAGGTAGGTTGGGTCAACATAGTGTTTCATCCAGTTCCAATTTAGTCATTGGACCATGGTTGGTCTTTTTTCTTATGCTGAATACTTTCTAAATAATTACAATGATACCCTAAACAAACTCTCCAAACCAAGACAAGAACTTTGATTATTACGCACGTTGGACTCCATGCTCCCACAGAGAGAGGCTTGCCGGCAGTGCCTGAACCTGGGGGACGCTTACACTGGGTCAGGTGTCTTCTTTCTGAGAAGCACAAAGCAAAGCAGAAGAGAACAAGACTGAAACATCCTGCACGTAAGCGTCCTACACATTCCACTTTACATGGAGTAAGTCATTTTGAAATACATTAATTTGCTATCATGCTTAATTTTCTATTTAAAAAATGCATTAATATCATACTTGCTACTGACCCAGAATAAGAAGTTCACTATTACTATGCACTGAAGAGGTAAGGCACATGAAACATTTATTTTTCTTAATGGAATTCGTATATTCAATACCTCTGAATGTTTTTCATTGCCTCACCATGTATATTAATATTAAGAGTGCATATGCTTTATTCACAATAGCCCATCTAAGGAAAGAGCCTAGATGTCCATCAACAGATGAATAGATCAAGATGTGGTACATATCGACAATGGAATATTATGCAGCCATCAAAAATGAAATCCTGCCATTTGCAATGACTTGGATGGAACTAGAAGGTATTATGCTGAGCCAAGTCAGTCAATCAGAGAAAGACAATTATCATATGATCTCTCTGATATGAGGAATCTGAGAGACAAGTCAGAGGATCATAAGAGAAAGGAGGGAAAAAATGAAACAAGACGAAACCAGAGAGGGAAACAAACGTAAGAGATTCTTACTCTCAGGAAACAAACAGCCTTGTTGGAGGGGAGGGGGATGGAAGGGAAGGATGTGTCTGGGGGATGGGCGCTGGGGAGCGTATGTGCTATGGTGAGTGCTGTGAATTATGTCAGACTAATGATTCACAGACCTATACCCCTATTACGTATAATGTAAGTAACACATTATATGTTAATAAAAATCATAATAGAAAAAGAGTGCATATGCTTTATTCTCTTCATTTTCACTTTTTAGATTTGTACAGGGATTCTTAAATCGATCCACTGATAACAAAAGAATCAAAATTCAAGAAAACAATGCAAGAAAATGGTCCCTTCACAATCCTAAATTCAGTCTACATAATAATTTGAGATCGACCACAGATTATATATTTCCTTTTGCATCGGACCTCAGAGTTCCAGACACGTAGCATTCATCATCCATGACTCCTACGCCACCAGCTGTCATCATTGGTCCATATTTCAGCCCTTTTTCTTCATTTTCTGTATAGTATTTCATTAATTCCTTAATTCACTAATCTTAATTTTAAAAACACGATGATTCACACAAAACTGAGCAAGAACCTTGAATATTCTACATCTGTCCCTAGAATCATTTATCACATTGATAGAATCGTTTTCATTAATCATTGTTAATCTATCATAAATGCATTAATAAATGTAACGTTTGGTAATACTCCCTTATTTATCACCGGCCATGATCGGCCTTTCGAATTATAGTCACACTATTAATAACACAGTAAACACCTCTTTTTTTTATAACCTGTCAAATGAAAACATGAGATTTATTACTCACACTGGTCTCTCTTAACACCTGAAACACAGATGCAACCAGAGAGATTGTGACCAAAAAAGAATTCTTCAACCAGCCTGAGGAAGTCCTTCTGGGGGAACAGAAAGCAAAGCATGGTATAAAAAAGAAAATCAGAGACCTCATCTGAGTCGATGCTCCTTTTCCACACTTCATTCATTCTGTTATTTAGGAATTTATTAATCTTCATTCTCCTAATAAAAGGAATCACCTCAAATTTGAGACTGACCTAAAAACTACAACTGGCTCATACTGAGGAGTTTTTATGATCCTCAGTCAAGGAGATGACACTCTGGATCCACTTATTTCTTAAGGGGCCTCCGTCTTCTCCATTTTTAGCAATAGTAACTTTTGCCTTACCATATACATTCACAGCTGGACAATGCTTCACTCTCTTTCTCTACGGATGTATCACTCTTTCATAGGTCTATCACTGATCCATTTATAATACTAAATCTAATCAGTTAAACCAGGGCAAGAGGATGACCATTGTATATTTCTAGTATCTGTCCACAGGAGCCATGTCCAGAAGAGGGATCTGACTACACAGGTCTTGGGTTGGACCCCAGAATCCCAGGCCCGTATTATGCACGACCCAAACACAAACGCCACCAGTTGCCACCAAAGGATCAGGTGAGGGTCTCTTTTGATTCATTCATTTCTACATGGGTATCAAATAAAACATTAATCCATTAATAATAATAAAATAAATACATGGGTCACAAAACCCAAGAAGATCCTTTCAGATCTCTAAAATCTCTCCAGAGAATCGTTTACTAGATACTGATTCTGTTTCAGTAACTGACCTCTGTACCATCATTACTGATGAATCAACATCATGACGGATATCATATTTCTCACTGGGATACAGTTAACTTTTGAAAATTACGTTTCATGCTTTTTAGTAACTCAATGAATACCTTTAAACAAAGGACCCAACCTAAGATGGTAACTTTGACCATTACTCACCTTTGTCTCTTTCTAAATGAAGCAACATGGCAATCTTGACCCTGGCAATCAGCTTGGGGTTCTATTCTGAAGAGTACCAATTAGAAAAGGTGAAAAAACGATTAAGACATTCTCTCCGTTGATCCAAACTTTCCATCATTCATATACGTGGTCATTAAGGTTTTTACTCATAGATGGTAGTACCTGTTTTCCCCTCATAAAATAAACATCAAACTTTCAAGTTTCTCAGTTTAATAACTGAGTTTTTAAAATAAAGATCTCCCATTTTTTAATTGAGGTTAATTAATCATCTAAAGTTAACAGATGAGTAGCATTCAATATTTTCACAGTATTGTAGAACATTTCTATGTAGTTTCAAACTACTTTCATCACTCCCACACTCATTAAGTGGTCTCTCCCTACTCCTCCTGCCTCAAATCCCAGGCAACTACCAATTTTAATTCTCCCTCTATGGACTTATCTACATTGGATATTTCATATAAATGGAGTCATGCATGACATGACCTGTACTGTCTGCGTGCGTTCACTGAGGACAATGTTTTCAAAGCACATCTGCATCACAGAACAGATGACGAGCTCATTCCTCTGCAGCCACTCTGGGAAAGAGTATGCAGGTTCCTCAAGAGGTTAAAAATAGGGTCACCCTACAACCCAACAACTGCACCACTAGAGATACAAACACAGTCATCCGAAGGGACACAGGCACCCCAATGTTTATAGCAATGTCCACTATTGCCAAATATGGAAAGAGCCCAGATGTCCATCAACAGATGAATGGATAAAGAAGATGTGGTTTATATATATAATGGAATACTATGCAGCCATCAAAACAAATGAAATCTTGCCATTTGCAAGGATGTGGATGGAACTAGAGGGTAGTGAAATAAGTCAATAAGAGAAAGACAACTATCCTGATTTCACTCATATGTGGAATTTAAGAAACAAAACAGAGGATCATAGGGGAAGGGAGGGATAGAATAAAACAAGACAAAATCAGAGAGGGAGCCAAATCGTAAAAGGTTCCTAATCATAGGAAATAAACCAAGGGTTGCTGGAGGGGAAGGGAGCAGGGGGAAGGGGAAACTGGAAGGGCTGGACATTAAGGAGGACACGTGATGTAATGAGCACTGAGTGTTATAGAAGACTGATGAATCACAGAGCTCTACCTCTGAAATCAATAAGACACTACATATTAATTAATTGAATTTAAATTTTAAAAAACAGAACACCCTATGACCTAGCAATTGCACTACTGGGTATTATTTATCCAAAGGATGCAAACACAGTGATTCGAAGGGGCACCTGCACCACAGGGTTTACAGCAGGACTGTCCACAGCACTGAACTATGGAAAGAGCCCAGACGTCTGTCCACAGATGAACGGACGAAGAAGATGGGCACTGAGGACATGTGACGTGATAAACACAGGTTATGTGCAACTGACGAATCACTAAATTCTACCTCTGAAACTATAATATACTATGTCAATCAAATTGAATTTAAATATAAAAATTTTAAAAATTTTATTCGAGAGTAGTTGGCACACAATGCTCCATTGGTTTCAGGTGTGCAGTGCATGATCCAACATTGCTATACATTGGGCTGTGCTCAGGACCGTCTTACATCATCCCCGTCCATGCACTGTACCCTTTACTCCCATGACTACGCAACTATCACTGAGCCTGCCTATATCATGCTTAGCCAAATGCACTTGACCTATTTATGATCTTTTCTAACTCTATCACTTCCCATTACTACACATCTCAGTTATGAACAATACTTAACTCTCTTCCTCTTTACTTATTTACACGTCTGTTTATTCTTCCACTGATACTTCGATAATATTTCTAAAAATTCATGATCACAAAGAGTGAGAACAACGTCCTTGTATATTCCTGGCCTCTGTCTACAGGAGCCATTGAATGGAGGGATTAGACTAGACACCTTTGTGTCAGATGGACCTCAGACTTCCAGACACGTAGCATTCATCGTATATGACTCATACGCCACCAGCTGTCATCATTGGTCCACACTCCGATCTCCTCTTCTGTACTTTTACATGTGTTTACCATCAATTTATCAAGTCATTAATGTAACAGAGTTAAGTATCTGTGACTCATAAAACTCAAGGACAAGATCCTTAAGTAGCCCTAACAACTGTCTATAGAACGTTTTGCCTCATTGAATATACTTACTCGACTCATGATCCTCATTGGGAACATACTGATCAGTTACAGTAATGTTTCATGTTAACTCTGTATTTACCACTGAGCTATGTTTGGAATTCCTTGAATTTTTACTATGACACCAAATATCCTATACAAAGCATCCGAAACAGGGAAGAATCTGTCACTCACGTTGGTCTCCGTGCTCCTACACACACGGGCACCCACGAGCACGTGATCACAGCCAAACGCCTAGGGCAGTTCACAGATATCCATCCTGAGGAACACAAAGCAGAATGGACAGTAACAGGCCGAGAGACTACTGAGCCACACATTCCATCCTCAGTTCGTCATTTGGGAATACAGTGAATTGGGATACTTATCATTTTTCCCAAAATAAAATAATAGCAAACCTAACACAAACTTAAAATAAGAACTTTGGCTGTCATGCCCTGTCTATGTCTCATTCTCAGCCAAAGCGGAAAAATGTGACCCGCTGACATTTCGTAATGACCTGCAGTATTTTCAACATACGCTACCAGCTTTCATCACCTCGCCACATAAACTAGGAGCAAACATGGTTCACTCTCTTTGTCTTATTTGTACTTGTATGCTGACAGTCTCTTCGGGCCATTTTTTTACAGTAAAATCAAAACTCATAAACACGAAACAAGAAAATCGTTCCTTGACTTTCCTAATATTTGTCTGTAACAACATGTCCAACAGAGACAACAGATCCGCTTTCTTTTTTGGTTGGACCTCACAGTTTCAGACACGTAACATTCATTATCCGTGACTCATACGCCACCAGCTGTCATCATTGGTCCAAATCTGGGCCTCTTTTCTCTTCATACTCCTCTAACTTCACTGACCAAGAATTCACCAACATTAATTCCTAAAACTCTGCGATTCACAAAAACCTGAGGAAGAGCTGTGAATATTTTATATCTGCCTACAGGGTCATCTGCCACATTGGTATGTCTCCTCCATCGATTACCATCGACGTTCCGTACATGGACAAATACATACAACGCGGCGAACCAATCCCATAGTTCTCTCTCCTGATGGGTTGCGTTTCTCATTACACTCCACACTTCTCATAATACAGAAATACCTGAAAATAAATTCTCCGATGCAGACACGAAACTATTACTCACATCGGTCTCTGTGCTCATTCCACAGAGAGGCAACAACGGAGCGGCGTGACCATGGAGGATGCTTGAGCGCGCTGGAGTCGTGCACCCATTCCGAGGAGTACAGAGCAGAGCAGGTGATAAAAAAAGAAAAAAAAATGAGGCCTTCTCTAAACTGGTCCTTGTTGTCCTCATTCCATGGACTCAATCATAAAGGTCCTTCTTATTCTTCGTAATTCATACACGTATATAAACGTAAAAATAAATATAACGTTACGATCCCTAGAAAAACAGGCAACACCCTTGGTCCCGTTGATCTCTTAACCTGCACTGGTTTCTTTAGTTTATACTAATAGCTCTTGCCTCATCACCTATATACCCATAGCTGGCAAGACCTCTTCCCTGGTTTTATTTGGTTATATATTTATTCATCGGTCCTATCAGTGACCCATTCACTTATATGAAAAACACAGAAATTCATGAATCCATGATTACTAGACCCATATTCGTGTAGAGTCCTCACGTTGACCCCCAGGATCGTTGTGTTGGACCTCAGACTTCCAGACACGTAGCATTCATCGCAAAGGACTCATACGCCACCAGCTGTCATCATTGGTCCATGCACAGACCTCCTTTTCTTTATTCTCATATACATTTTGTTAAGGATCCATTCATCAATTCACTATGGCAATTAAATAAATATCTATGAATCACAAAAGCCCAAGGACAAGGGCCTTCAGTGTCCCTATCATTTTTCTTCAGATTCACTGCCTTATGGAAATACCTCCCATTAATCATCCTCATTGTCGTAAAGGTAGATTAATCAACATCGTGTTTCCTACATTTCCAGGTTGGTCTTTTCTCTTCTACTGAATACTTATTTTTAAGTATTACAGAGAATGCCCAAAAGGAACCAACCAAAGTGAGGTGGAAACATTGACTATTACTCACGTTGGTTTCCATGTTCCTACAGGCAAACGTAGAGATCACTGGCCAAGGGATACTATTTAAACCATCTTGGGTGTGTGCATTCTGAAAAGCAGAAAACAGAGTAGATAATAACATGAGTGAGACATATTCTCTATTGATCCTTGTGCTACATTTCATTACTCAGTAATTAAACTACAAATTAATTCAGGGTAATATGCATTTTACTTTTTCTTAAGAAAAACAAAACACTGAACTTGCCACTAACTCAGAACAAAAATATTGGCCATTGTTTAATTATGTGTAACATTCTTATGTAGAAGCAATACCCATGAACTATTTCTCTCTCTCTTTCCTTACTACATGTTTTTTATTGACTCACTTATTCTAATAGAATCAAAATTCATGAATACAAAGAGCCCAGAACAAAATCTTTGTGAAATTCTAAATCTGTCTATAGGTTCATTTCCAACAGAAGTGGTAAACTAGATTTCTTTTTATGCTGGACCTCAGAGTTCCAGATGTATTCATCAACCACGATTCATACGACACCAACCATCATCACTGGTCTGCCCTTGGCCCTTTCTTCCTCACTCTCATCTACCTTTGTTTATTAATTAATTCATCAATTTATCTGATAGTAATAAAATAAATATCTATGAAGCAAAAAAAAAAGAAAAAAAACTAGAAAATAGCCCTTGAATAGTCCCACATCTGTCCAATTATATCTCCTTGATTCCCTTGATTAATCACCCTCAAAATCTCATATAGGGACTATTTAATGTAATGCAATGTATTATCAATTCCATATTTATCGATGAAACATGGGTGGAATTCTTTTATTATATTTCATACTTTCCAAACACAGAGTGTAGACCCACAAAAACTCACCCCTCTATGCACCAAACACATGGAGTAAGCAGACGTCTTGTGACCATGGAAGAACCCTGAAATCAGCTGTAGTGCATCCATTCTGAGACGTGGAAAACACAGAAGGTGGTAAAAAAAAAAAAAAAATTTAAACCTTATCTTCATTGGCTTTGTTTTCCACATTTCATTTACTCATTCATTTAGGTATTTATTAATTTTCATAATTTATAACCCTTAACTTACTTATATTTATTTATATTTGATTATTGATTCTTTCATTTCTTTATAGTCAAAGAATCAAAATCCATAAACACAAAGACCAAGAACTTGATCCTTGTATGTTACCAATATCTATCACTATGATCATTTCCAAGAGAGAAAAAAAGACTCAATTTCTTGTAGTGTTGGACCTCAGAGTTCCCGACACGTAGTATTCATCGTCCATGACTCATACGCCACCAGCCGTCATCATCGGTCCAACACTGGTCCTTATTCCTCACTCACTTCCACATTTCCTTACTGATCAACTTATCAGTAAACCACTGACTATAAACATCTGTGAATCAAAAACACTTGAAAATAAGACCCTTAAGCATCCCTAACACCTGACCATAGAATCATTGCCTCCTTGAAGATGGACTTCATTCATCAAATACCAGTTAATCAATACAATGTTTCATGTCAATTCTATACTTATCACGGGGCCATGGTTGGCCTTTTTTTATTCAATTTAAATACTTCTTAGTATTATAGCTAACATCCTAAACAAACCACCAAAATAAGATAAAAATTTGGTACTCACACCGATCTCCATCTCCTACGTACAGAGCTCTAATCACGCAACATGCTTTCATCAGCTTGGTGTGGCCACTCTGAGAAGTACAGAGCAGAGAAGATAAAAAGAGAGAGAGAGAGAGAGAGACATTATCTCTCCATTAATGCTTCCATTTCACCTTCTATATAGTCACTAATTTAGGTATTTGTTATTTTGGAGTTCTCTCAAGGAGTATCAAATTTGTCACTGAGCCAGAACACGAGCAATGATTATTATGTGTACTTACTATATAATCATTAGCCAAAGAAGTCACACTTTGAAGCCACGTCTTTCGTAATTGGCTCAGTGTTTTTAACACATATTTATAAATGAACTTAGGTCATGACACATCTTCATTATTGAACAATGTTTTATTTATCCGTATTTAGATTTTTATTATTTATAATTTTAACATATCCAATTATGATAACAGAATTAAAATCCATGAACAAAAAGACCAAGAACGTGGTCCTCATACATTCATAACATCTATCTATAGGGCCATTTCTGAGAGGCGGTAAACTCCATTTTCTCTGTTGGACCTCAGAGTTCTAGACACGTATCATTCATTATGCATGATTCATACGCCACCAGCCATCATCATCGATCCAAGCTTGAGCCTTTTTTTCCTAATTCACATCAATATTTGTTTCTGAATTTACCAATTCCCTGATAAAAATCAAACAAGTAACTCTGAATTAAAAAAGAAAAAAAAAAGAATAAGGGCCCTAAATATCCCTACATAGGCCTAAACAATCATTTACCTCATCAATATGTTTCCTATTTTAATTATCCTCAGTGTTTCATATAACAGCATATTTCCCACCGGGCCATAGTTGGCTTTCTTTGTTTATACAAAATACATCTTATTCAAACACTGAATATTCTTTATAAAAAAATAACCATTCACACGAAGAGCGCTGTAACTATTACTCACATCTGTGTCTGTGCTCCTAACAATGGAGCCAACCATAGGGAATCAGCTCGAGTGCATCCATTCTGAGGAGTACAAAGCAGAAGAGATTATTTTTAAAAATTGAGACATTCTTTCCATTTAGCTCCACTTTAGCATTTAGAATTGCTTTCACATTTCATTGACTCAGCCATTTAATTATTTAATAATTTTTCATAATATTTACATATTTTCCTCTTAACAAAATGAACTACCTCGCCCATGAGACTGGTCTGTGACAACCAAGTGACTATTACTAATCAGTGCCTGTATGATCCCTGCACAGAGGCAACGCAGTTGGTCCATTTAATTCTTAATGGACGTCTGTGATTTCAAATAATATTAATAGTATTTCTTGCCTCACCATTTTTATCAGTTTCACAATGCTTCATTTTTTTTATGTTTACTGATTTATGAATTCGTTTATGGTTCTATCATTTGTGAGTACAAAATCAAAACCCAGGTATATGTAGTAACAGAACAAAGTCCTTGTATATTCCTGACTTCTGTCCACAGGATGACTTCCGACAGAAGGAGAGCACTAGATTTCCTACTTGTTGGACCTCAGAGTTTCAGACACGGAACATTCATCATCCATGACTCATACGCCACCCTTTGTCATCATTGGTCCAGAACTGTCCCTTTTCTTCTCCATTAATTTCTACATACGTTTACTGATTAATTCCTCATTTCATTAGTAAGTAAGTACCTCTGAATCACAAAAACTTAAGAACAAGATTTTTAAGAATGTCTAATAGCCATCTACAGGATCATTTACTAACATTGATTATCTCTCTCATTAATCATTCTCAATTTTGCAATCAACAGCAGTGTTCAGGACAATGCCGTGTTTATCACTGGGCCTTGAATGGCCTTCTTGGATCCGTTAACAAGGACCAAAACCAAGACAATTACTTAGACCATACTCACACTGATCTTTATGCTCCTAGGCAACCAGACAACTCAAGACCATGGAGATGCTTAGGCTGGCCGGAAGCATCCATTCTGAGAGTACAAAAACAGATAATAAAAAAAAAAATTCTTAATATTCTATCCATTTATCTCTGCATGCCTCCTCTCATTTTATTTGTCATTTAGGTATGTATTAAATTGTTATTTTTTTTTCTTGAGGTAACAAGCAATGTTGATCAAGGCCCCAGCCAAACAAGTAAATGGGCTATGATTTACACTGTAATATCAACCTTAGCCAAAGAGATAATACCTTTAGGACATTTAGTTCCTAATGGAATTCAGTGTTTTTAAAATATATTAATAACATGGGGCGCCCGGGTGGCTCAGTGGGTTAAAGCCTCTGCCTTCAGCTCAGGTCATGATCTCAGGGTCCTGAGATCGAGCCCCCCATCAGGCTCTCTGCTCAGCGGGGAGCCTGATTCCCCCCTCCCCCGCCTGCCTCTCTGCCTACTTGTGATCTCTGTCTGTCGAATAAATAAATAAAATCTTTAAAAAAAATAAAATATATTAATAACGTTTCTGGCCTCACCATATATTTTCATAATTGGATAACGCTTTACTTTCTTGCTTTATTTATGTGTTCGTTTGATTCTTTGGTTGATCCAATTACAATAACAGAATCAAATTCCATGAACACAAAAACTAAGATCTTTAAACACGCTTAACATCTGTCCACGGGACCATTCCCCGCAGAAGTATAGACTAGACTTCTCACTGTGTTGGACCTCAGAGTTCCAGTTACATAGTATTCACCGTCCATGACTCATACTCCACCAGTCATCATCATTGGTCCAGGACTGACCCTCATTATCTTCAATCATGTACACATGTTTTAATGATTAATTCACCGATTCCCTGATGATAATAAAATGCATAAAGGTCTTGAAAACTTGAGATAAGATCCTTGAATATCTCTAACATTTCCATATAGAATTATATCCCACTGATTATATCTTTCATTAATTGCCCATAATGTTTCCTATAGAGATTAATAATTAATACAATACTTCATATTAATCCCATTTTACTATTTTAATGTGACCAAATTATGTCTTCATAAATAACGGGAGGTCTAAGTCAACTGTGACTCAACAATGAAATTGAATCATACATTTTACACTAATTAATTGAATAATTAACTGTGAAAACGAATAAAATGGCCTTGCATTTTTCTCCTTAATGGACCACAGATGTGCTGAACTGCCCTATGCGTGACCTTCATTCATTTTATTTGTATATGGAGTCATTTATTCCCTTTCAATAATGGAGTTAACACCCATGACAGACCGCCAAACTAGAAGCAATTATCTTGACTGTTACTTACATAAGTTTCTCCGTAATTGATTCATCATCCAACCATTCTGTGGAGTATAAAGCAAATACAAAAATAGATAGATTCAGTGACATAATGATAGATATAGAACAGCCTAGATCAAATATTTTAGTTCAAGTCAACAATAAATGATTGGAAATAAACCTTAGCGCCTGTTATGGATTAAAACTCAGAACAGCATATTTATTGCTTGATTGCTCCAAATATTACATTTAACTGATATAATGAACCCCTCTGACACCAATACCAGATACAAGAATTCTAAGAACCATGACTACTACTCATATCTATTTCTATGTCCCCTGCTTGGCCTGGTGAGAGCTCTATCTTCTTTCTAAATGGATCTTTCTCGGGAAGAAGCAGGATAATCTGAATCTAAGATTCTAGCAAATTCTCAACAATTTTGCATGCTTATCCCACCTTTACATGTGTATGTAGGAACATAGGAACCTATGGAGTCATTTCTGCTTTCTTAAAGCAACTTCACCAAACCAGAAAAAGAAATCCTATCTAAATATATTCACCATTCCCAAAATTCAAGAGCGTAAGTCTTATTTGCTTTATCTGGAAAGCAATTGTGTGGAAGTGGATTCACCACTGTCCTTGTTTCATAACAAATGCTCCTCATGGTCCAAATAATTGATTAAAATATTAACTTATTCTTTTATCTATTTATAATAATATCATTAATATTTGTGACTCCACAGAAACAGGACGATATTAATGCCTATCCATATGCTTCTTAGGCACAGAAAAAAGAGCAGATGATTTTTGTTCTGTTTTGTTTTTTTATTAAAACATAGCAAAGACCACTGGATTGGTTGTAACTGGTCATGTGACACATTCTCAACATAAGCCCATGTGTAAGCCCTCTCTCAATTATGCAGTTTTTTAATCAATAATTAATTTTAAGTAAATGTTTTGCTCTTCTCTTACTAAAACAAAAAACCAACAACCCAACCCTGAAAAACAACCTGGGTTCGTACATCCATTTATCTAAATTCTTGTTACCCAAAGGGGTCAGCTTCAATCAATTTACTTTACTGGAACTCAGTGCTTCAGAAATTTATTAACAATGATTTTTACGTTACACATATTACATTACCTACTTTCCTATCTGGACCAGGAATAACCCATTTTGTCTTTATTCATTTATTTATTTCTTGATTTATTCATGCAATGATTTACTGCAAATACAATACCCAAAAGCCCAAGAACAAACTCTTGTGTATTTTTAATTCCCAGAATAAGCTCATTCGCTACAGAGACAACAGAGAGTAATCTGTAATGGACCTCAGAGTTATAGGGTTTAATCAAAATCCTTGATTTCAGACACCCCAGGGTACTCATCATTGATCCAGGCTAAGCAATCTTTTTCTTGATTTATACCTTTGTTTATGGATCCATTCTTTGATCCACCAACAGTAATAAAATCAATATCCAAAAATTTTTAAAGAGCCAAGAACAAAATCCTTGGAGAGGACCAAGGTCTATTTCCAGGCTCTTTTCCCATAACTACACCTTTTCCCCAAAGACTTTTTTGTAGGAGCCCTCAGAGAGGTATGCACAGGTCACTTAGCATCCCAGCTCCATGGGCGTCCTAGTCTGTCTTCCATCTTTCTATGGCCTTCTTCGGTGAGCTGTCCAGCAGCACTTACCGCCGTAACATGAACATGCCGAGACTGCGCTCTCATGTGGTCACCATCAGCCATATGGAGCTACTAAGTTCTTGAAATGTGGCTAGTGCAACCGAAGAACTGAAGTGAAAATTCACTGAACTTTTATCATTTTAGACTTAAATAGCCACATGTGGCTAGGGACAACCACACTGAACAGTGCAGTCTTAGACTTCATTACCGAATAAATGTTTAAGTCAAACGCATTACAAAAATCAGATGGATTGTGAAATGAACAGAATGTCTTCCATCTCGTTTTCAACCACGATTGTCCTGAACTGGAGTAACCATAATCTTTATTTCACGGCACATTCACATCACTGATCTATGTGTGGCTTTATTTAAATAATTCAGTGAACACTGATGAAAAATTCACCCCAGTTGACAAGATCTTGCGACGGTTATTTACTTTAGTCATTAGGTTCCTTACCCACAAAGGTAACAGCCAAGATCTTCATCAGCAGAGACTGATTAAATCAATCATCATCTTCATTCTGTGGAGTCAAGTGCCAATATTCAGAAGAATGAACAGTCCAAATTTACATTGACTTAAAGGACAAGAGCTGTGTGGTACAAGGATTACTTAGGAAGTTGATTCGCTTCTCATTTTCACCACTGACCCAAGGACATCACTCCTTATTTATTTCTTGATTTTAAATAATACTATTTTTAAATAATAATTTTACATTTTAAATAATACAATGAACACCACTGAGTTCATCGGCAAAAATAAAAACTCTGCCTATTGCGCTTATCTGTCTAGAGACCCCCTACCCAAACAGGCAAGCGCCTAGACAATTGTTGTTTTTTTTTTAAGGACTCAGTTTGTGTAGAAATAGAGGAGTTTAAATTTGTGATTCACAGCATATTCTCACCAAGATCTATGCTTGACCCACCTTATATATTAATTCAATCATTCATTGTTTTATTTACTTATTTGCGGAGTGACTCAGGGAATATTTGATCATACATTAAAATATACTAACACACACATACACAGGTAAACCCATGAATCCAGAACAGACATTCCCTCCATGTACAAGTGTCCACATGCCCATAGCCAAGCTACAAAGAGAGGATCAGTGGCGTAGATAAAGATTAGTCATTCTTGCTTCTTACCGGGCCATGTTCCGCCCCCTTTTAAAACTGTGGTTAGGACATAACCTATTCAAATGTAACAATTCATCAATATCTGGGAATTAACTAATATTAGACAAGAAACTCGAAAAACATTATTTTGTCTCCATGTCTATTATAGTACCCACAGAGCTTTAAAAATGAACCGTTTCTCCTTTTTAATAAAATCCAGTGAACAGAGATAAATTAATAATAACTCTTCATAAAGCATATTCTAATAGGAACTATGCTCATTCTTTTTCCAATTAAGTATTTAATGAATTATTCATGTATGTAATTTTTCCTAAAAACAACCAAGCAGCAAACCACCACCTATATCAAACAATGGGATACGGAGTCTTAAATCCATCCGCCTATCCGCTCCTTCCACAAAGGGGCAGTTTTCACTGCAACTGAGTGCCACAGAAATGTTTCCTTACATACTCTCATGATTGGTCTATGCCCAGATTCTTTTATATTTACTCACTTTTGTATTTCTTCAATTTATTCATACATGATTTACTTAGAAAAATTCAGCCCATACTCATCAAGTGTGTATGCCCATAATCAAGATACTTGAACATCCTCAACCTGAGCTCTAAGCTCATTTCCACAGAGGGGGAAAAAAAAATGAGGCCACTTTTTAATTACGGACCTCAGAGTCACAGATGGCTTTAATCAAAATTTTTGATTCAGACACCCTCCAATCTCATCATTGGTCCACACTTGGCACTGGTTTCCATCGTTCAATTCCACCTTCATTTTCCCGTGGATCGCCAGCTCCCAGAACAAGATACTCAACAGAACGATGACATGTCTGTACCCGGATTTCTCACAGAGCGCTCAGACGAGATCTGCATGCGACCCGTGCTTCGTATCAATACCATCGTCAAAAATGTCTCATGTTGGGCCATGTTCATTTAATGTCCAGTTTTGTCGGACATTAAAACACCAGTATTAATGGTGTAACGAAAAACAAAAAACCGGGGCGCCTGGGGGGCTCAGTGGGTTAAGCCTCTGCCTTCGGCTCAGGTCATGATCTCAGGGTCCTGGGATCGAGCCCCACATCGGGCTCTCTGCTCAGCAGGGAGCCTGCTTCCCCCTCTCTCTCTGCCTGCCTCTCTGCCTACTTGTGATCTCTGTCTGTCAAATAAATAAGTAAAATCTTAAAAAAAAAAAAAAAAACCATAATGATGTCCCACGTTTAGAACACAGACAATAGGATCTTCCTTCTGAGACCTCCTTCCTCTAAACAATGAATAGCCTGGATCTCTATCAGAATGAAAACGCTTCAATCAACTGTGGTTTAGAAATAATACGGACTGGCAAACAGTTTCAAAAATTAATTTAAATGTCTTCCATTTAAAAAGTGCATCTCAGTTGTGTTGAAATGGGTTCATTCTACTCCTACTACTCCTGTGCCCAGAACACAGTCCCACTATTGGTCCATACGTCGTGTTCTTCGATTTTATTTTTGTGTATAGAGCCCTTCTCTTCTATTTTAACTACCTTAGTGACCACATATGGACAAAAAACACGAACAAGAACAAACGTTGTTACATTGGCTTCTTACCCACAGAAGTAACAGTCAAGATCTTCCTCACTGGACGACGGCTGAGACGACGGCTGAAACCAACGTGGAGTATTTACCCAGGAGGATAGTGTAGATTTTCAGAAGAGTGAAAAGAACAAATGTAGATTTTTAAATAGAAGTTAGTTCTGCATTAGTAGATTAATCATAAATATTCGTTTGTGTTACATTTTCATCAATACAACAGTGGTATCCTTTTCATCCACTGAATTACTCAATTATTTTTTATTTGTACTTTTAAAAGATTTTTATTTATTTATTTGACACAGAGAGAGAGAGATCACAAGTAGGCAGAGAAGCAGCAGAGATAGAGGGGGAAGCAGGCTTCTTGCTGAGCAGAAAGCCCCATGAAGGGCTCGATCCCAGGACCCTGGGATCATAACCCGAGCCAAAGGCAGAGGCTTAACCTACTGAGCCACCCAGGCACCCCTGAATTACTCAATTTTTAATGTGAAATAACATAAAGATGATCTTTTATAATCTACCACCCAAAACAAACAAACCAAAAAAACTAGCACTATTACTGGTATCTGTCTCTATAACCTACCAAATAGTAAAAAGTCCAGGTTCTCCTTCAGTGGGAAAACTTTAGCAAAATGGGATGAATTTAAGTTCATATTTCAGGAAACAGTCTGAACAATGAGCCGTCCTATACTCGAATTCTTATGTTTGTCAATTAATTTATTTACTCACTTTTGAATAACTCTAAGGATAATTTAATTATCTACCTTTTATTTCTAAAGAAAACACAAAAAGGTAGAGCCGTGAACCACCCAAAACTGAATACTATGACATGCCACTTTCCATCTCAGCCCTGTTGTACTGATGGAACTTTCTGCAGTGATGGAGAAAGTCTCCATGAGCACCACTCATTCAATATGGCAGCACTGGCCACATACAGTCTGAAACATAGCTAGTGTTACAAAGGTGCGAATTTTTATTTTTGAATGTAGATGTTAACAGCAAGATAGATTTAGAGAATGGTGGTTATATGATCTTTCCCTGAAGGAGGGACCTGGATATTTTTCACTTAAGTGGACTTCAAGATGATAGAACAGGTTTAACCATGCTCCTTTGTATGTGATACATGCTCCTCACTGACCCACGGTCTACGTTCTTTTAAAAAATGGACTGAAACACAAAACTTCTTTTACGCGCTACTAATAATGGCACGGATCCCGGCAAGCAATAAGGATACTTCACAAGAAGGCTAAGTGATACTAAATGGATCCATTGGCTTTTCACTTGCAGAAATCATCAATAAAATACAGCTACATTTTTCTTTCATTTTTGGTTATTTATTTATTTTTACATTTTTCTTTTGAAAGAAAAGTCAATGAACACACTTACCATACTCTCCTTTCCAATGTTCATACTTAGACTGTTTCTAAGTTTCAATAATTATTTAATCATGTTTTTTGGGGTTTATCATTGATTATATTAAATCTTATTTATTAAAATATTTTATACTAATGGGCTTATCATGATTTGCCAGATTTTAATTGAATACATATGTACTATTATGTATTGCTGATTACTATGCAATAAGTAAGTTTCCTGTCCCTCTTCAAAATAAGACAGGTCACTGACTCACTACCACCTCAGAAGAAAAACACTGATGTTCGCATATATCTATCTATATGTTCTCAAAGGAGGAGAAGCCTTAGTCTACTTTAACTCAAAATTCAAAAAAATATTAATAATTAATATTTATAAATATAATACTATAAATATTATATTATAATATAAATATTATAATATGGTATAAATATAAATAAATTAATAATTATTTTGGATTCATTAACTCCTTTCTTGATTAGATAAGGTGCTGCCCTTCTCTTCACTGATCCTTTCCTTATAATAACACAATTCATAGTTGTGAACAAAACAACAACACAAATAAAGACCACCTTGAATATCTCTAATTCCATCTATACGCACATTTCCCGTAGATGCAATGGACCTCAGAGTTACAGACTGGGTTTAATCAAAAATGTTATTCAGGTGCCCCTCGCACACTCATCATGGATGCACACGTGGTATCCTGCACCTTCATTTCATACACTGTTCTGACTTATTCCCTGGTTCACTAATTATTACAGACAACGTGCATGAATTAGGAAAACAAAATGAAGGTCCTTGAGGATAGGAATACATCCACGAAAGCTGACTTGCTACAGAGTTAGCTCTCTCCATGCAATGTGCTTCAGTGTCGCAAATGTGTTTCCTTGCATCATCTCAACTCCCTTAGTCACTGGTCCCCACTTGGGCTCTTTCATTTCACATCCATGTTTTAAAGATGGTACCGGGAGGGGGAGGGTGCCTGGGTGGCTCAGTGCATTAAAGCCTCTGCCTTCAGCTCAGGTCATGATCTCAGGGTCCTGGGATCAAGTCCCTCATCAGGTTCTCTGCTCAGCGGGGAGCCTGCTTCCCTTCCTCTCTCTGCCTGCCTCTCTGCCAACTTGTGCTCTCTGTCAAATAAATAAATAAATTCTTTAAAAATAAATAAATAAATAAATAAAGATGGTACAGTGACCCATCATTTTGTACCATGACTAAGAAAAAGGCAACACATCCCATTTTCTTATGTTCTCCCTTCAGTGGGTTCACAGTCTATAATAACATCTACCAACAGAGAAGTGTTTAAATCCACTGTGGAACAGAAGTAAAATGGAGTGGGAGAGTGTCTTAAAAATTACTGAAATGTCTTTCATCCTTCATCTCAATAAATTCAGTAATGCTGAAATGGACTAATCATACTTCTGAATTTATAACATATTTTAATCATTGGTCAACACATGACCACCTTTGGATCTGTTCATGTATGCAGACGCTTACTCTTTCAAAGCTCCTCAATGAACACCCAGGAACAAGCCGCCAAGCAATACATGAACACTGACTGTGGTTTCCATTGATCTCTGCTTCTCTCTTTACCCCAAGAGAAGAAAGTCAAGTTCTTCACCATGAGTTAATAATCGAGTTTAGGGGCACTTGGGTGGCTCAGTGGGTTAATCCTCTGCCTTTGGCTCAGGTCATGATCACAGGGTCCTGGGATCGAGTCCCGCATCGGACTCTTTGCTCAGTGGGGAGCCTGCCTCCCCCTCTCTCTCTGCCTATTTGCGATCTCTGTCAGATCAATAAATAAGATTTTTTTTAAATAATAATAATAATCAAGTTTGGTAGATTGTGCTCATTCTAGGGAGTAAAAGGCAAACTTTGAAAAGAATGTCTAGGGGCGCCTGGGTGGCTCAGTGGGTTAAAGCCTCTGCCTTCGGCTCAGGTCATGATCCAGGGTCCTGAGATCGAGCCCCACATCGGGCTCTCTGCTCAGCAGGGAGCCTGCTTCCCTTCCTCTCTCTCTGGCTGCCTCTCTACCTACCTGTGATCTCTGTCTGTCAAATAAATAAATAAAATCTTAAAAAAAAAAATTTAAAAAAAAAGAAAAGAATGTCTACCTTGAACTATTTTAAATGATCAAAGAAAATCAACCAGAAACCTTAATTTGCATTATTTTCTAAACATCTGGAAGAGAATTCTACTCCATATTTACTAATTTGTGTGATTTTTTATTTTAAATAATAAGATGACCACCGCCGAACCTAGCACTGAACAAAAGAAAAATAATTGTAATTAGGAATATCTGTCTGGACTTCCTACCCACGTAGGTAAAAGCCGGGATCATCTTTTTTGGTGAACTTTATTTGTGCAGAACCGGATACGTGGGAGATTCAATTCAGGGCACAATCTCACCGGGGAGCCAAGCCTGACCCTACTTAATATATCTATTAATCCACCCACTAACTGTTCTAATTACTCATGGGATAATAAGGCCATCCTTTCACTGTTCTAAGCGAATTCCAAAAATTAAACAACTCTCGAAACAGAAGCAAAATACTTATTATTTATAAAATGTCTGTGCGTACCATTAGAAAGGCCTAGGGCTCTCTGAATGCCTATGGATTATTAGTTGTGTAAGACATGATATATCATGGTCTTCACATGCAACTGCATGCTTTTTGTGCATTGGTGGCCGACTTCTTTAAAAAAATTTGACATAAATGCAAATACATTTACTCACTTGTAATTAAGCTGCAATATATGTTAGCCCCCCACCCTGGCTAAGTGCCTTGAATAATATTTACATCTGTCCTTATGTCATTACCCAGAAGAATAGCAAGCTGATTCTTTAATATCTGTTTGCTTACACAGAACTGCATACAAAGACTGCATTAATCGTGAGTGCGGCTGCATAAAACATCACCATCCCTGCTCCATGGTCTCCCTCTCCATCAGTTTATTCAATCAACTACTTATGTAAATGCATTTCCCTTTCCTTAATAAAATCATCAACTAGCAATGCGCATCACCACAAAACACGGACTCTTATGTGCTGCTGACCATATGCACTTACTAAAGTGATAAAAAAAAACCTTGACTATTCATTTATTGAGACTAAATATCTCAAAATGGTTTTAGTAACTACCCACGTTTCATTATATGCCTTAAAAGTAGTGCATGCATCTCTCTCTTATTCTTTATTCATTGATATATTTCTTTATTCATGGGCTAATTGTATTATAATAATGCAATTCATACCCCAAACCACAAAAGCTCACGAATAAGATGCTGGAGGCTCATTTCCCACAAAGAGAATAATGAGGTGTTTCTTTGTGATGGACCTCAGTTGCAGATGGGTTTAATCAAAATTCTTGTTTCAGAAACCCCATGACATTCATCATTGGTCCATGCTAGGAAATTTTTTTGTTTATCGATTGGTTTTCTGATTCACAAATAATAATACAATCACAAAATTCCAAAAACAAGATCCTCGAATTTTGGGCTTTTCCCCCGTAGAGCAAATTCATCTTTTTGTAATGGCGCTCAAAGCTGCACATGCAGATGAGTCAAATTCCCTGCTTTTCTAGCAAACCCACATTTAGCACTGCTTCCTATGTGGTCCTCTCTTATTTAATTTGTCCATATGTCAAAGATGGTTCAACGAAAAATAACGAAACCACCATCTTCACTCACTCTGGGCTGCCCCCAAAGAGCTGTCAGCTAGCTCTACCCATACGGGAATGTTTAAACCAGCCATGGCAAAAAATAAAGACTATTAAACTGCTCTGAAAATAAATTATAGAACTTCTACCTTCTTTTAAAATTACCTCCATTGTACTAATTTAGATTAAATGTCATTTTTGGTTTATAAGACATTCCCATCACCAGCCCACACTTGGAGAGTTTTATTTATTTTGTGTGTGCAGTACACAATTATTTACTTTGAAATTCTTCAGGTAACACCCATGAACAAACAGAGATGCGAACTACGGGACTCACTTATCTCAGTCTTCACCTCCTGGTGGACTGTAATGACTCTGGCTAATGACTGAGTCAGCCAAGCTGTAGTTCACTCTGGGTAGGAAAAAGCAGATACAGGTACATTTAGCATTTTTTAATGGCTGTTAATCAGACAGAGCTAGATACCAGTAAAAACTTTGGCTCAAACGTGCAGTTCTTTATTAATCAAGTATGGAATTCTTAGTAATCAAAAATATAAGAAATACTATCAAGTCCACCACCTAACCCAAGATTAAAATCTGTAATGGTTACATTTATCCACCTGTGTCAACACCTATTACAGAGATGGTTATCGGGGCACCTGGGGGGGGCTCAGGCGTTAAGCATCTGCCTTCAGCTCAGGTCATGATCCCAGGGTCCTGGGATCCAGCCCAGAGTCCATCTCCCTGCTCAGCGGGGAGACTGCTTCTCCCTCTCCCACTCCCCCTGCTTGTGTTCCCTCTCTTGTCTCTCTCTCTGTTAAATACATAAATAAAATCTTAAAAAAAAACAAAAAAAGAAGATGGTTATCTAACAGATTATTGAATGATGCAAACATCTTCCTTTCTCTTAGTTTAACCGCCCCCCCCAGCCCCTCCGCAAGCTGCAGAAGCGCCAAACCCTGGCCCTGAGCTACAGACACTAATATGTTTCCATATAAAAGGGGATTACAGAGTAAGCCTTTCCATTTTCCTTCAAGACTGTATTGATACTAATAGTGTTCACTGCACTCTGCTAATTGTCCCATGAGAAGGCTTTCAGTGTTTCATGGACTCATTTCTTTATTCATTCATGCACTGATTCACTTGAAATAATACAATCCATCTCCATGAACCACAAAAGCCTGGGGCAAGTTTATTGAATTTTCCTAACTTCTCCTATGAGCTAATTTCTACAGAGAATATTGACGGGTCCGCTCTCCGGACTGGACCTCAGAGCTCCGGAAGGCTTCTTCAAAGGTGTGGGTTGGAAAACCTCCACCAGTACTCATCACTGAGGGGGCCCAGCGCGCTCCCTCTTCATTCACTCATGCTTTCTTGAATGGGCTCATTCATTCACAGATTCATGGACAACAGGTAGACAATCAATAACCTTTAATGACACAAAACTGAGAACAAAAGCCTGAAAGACAACCAAGATTTCTTCCTTGCCCCCGTTCATGGAGAGCAAACAGTCACTCACTCTTCACAAGGAACTTCTGGTTTACACAGAGGGATTAATCAGCACGCTGGCTTCAGTATCAGGCCCTAACTTAGGACAAGTGTCCTCCTGCTCCTTGTCACCTGACTTGCCAACACATGAAAGCTGGTGTCGTCAACAACCAGAGACCTCTCATCTCAACCCACAAGGGACGGAAGTGACATCTACCATCTTCGGAGGCATTCTAGCTGCAAGGGTTAATAATTGAGATCTTTACTCGTGAAGGAATGTATTAAGCAAATGGGTCAAGAATATTAAATGAGATGATACAGTGCTTTGAGAGTATGTGAAAAGCCCTCCATCACTTTACTAGTGGTCCACAGTTCAGATGAGTCAAAGTAAATATAAATTTTAATTCGTGACACTTTCCAGTCCCAGAATCGGGACTGGCATTCCTTAATTTCATATGGTATTTAACTAGTTATTTTATTGAACTAATTCCATGGGCTCCCATAAATAACCCCACCTAAGCCTTGAACACAAACATTGATATTTACATATATAAGTTTTTACGCTTCTTAGTCCCAGAATTATCAGCCAGGTCTTCCGGATTAGAGAATGATTAAATCGGCTTTGTGTTCATTCTACAAACAAAGGAAGAAGGGGGGGAAGGAAAGCCAATTTGAAAACACAATGAAAACAGAGGTCTCTTTTTTAAACTGAAATTTGTGAAGGGAAACAATGAACCAGCAGCTCTGTTTCCTACCACATTCTCATCATCTTCCCAAAGATGGTACTCTCTCACTTACTTAAATTTCTACTGAATAATAGGAATACTATCGAATTCCTTGCTCAACACAAACTAAAATAAAAATTACCAATTAGAGACATCTGACTTTATTTGCTACCTACATAGGGGAGCACGATCACCTGTGTAGAATTTAACATATTTAATTTGTTTCTTGGTTCTATCCTCCACTACATATATTTATGGATTTATGGATTCACTCATTTACTGGCTGATTTTACTATTCGGTGAATAATAATACCAGCTTTCTAAAGAAGACTAGGAATTGTTAAACACCAACCCAGAACCAAATTACAACAATTTGGAAAGGTCTCAATATACCTTTCAAAAAACAGAAAAGCCTAAAGTTTTTCCTAGACTATTTGTCATTGGAAAAGTAAGAGAAATCAAAATCCTCATACTTAAACATGTGGTGCCAATTGGCCCATGGTTTGCTGACTTTTTAAAAAATAGTTTGATATATAAAATTATACTTTCTTTCCCTTACACAGAGACACTAATATCTGTAATCTTATCTACTGGGCAAAAACACTGTACAAAATTTACATCTGGACATAGTCATCACCGTCAATAACAGACTTGCTTCTTTTTTATTGTTTTAATAAAAGTAAGTTTTAAAAAGACTGGATTAACGATGAGTGTTCTCATATAAATCATTCTAATCATTGGTCTCTGCTTGGCTCTCAGCTATGTGGTCATTTAACCAACTAGTATAGAGTAAATGTGCTGCCATTTCCTTAATAAAAGAATCAGTCAGCAACCCAGCACCCACAAACACTCCCGAGTATTATGTACAAATAACCATATACCCTTTTCACTTACTATTAATTTATGAGAAATCAGAGTTTCAGCCAAATTTTAATACTACTACTCCATGTTACATTACATTCCTTAATAATAAGTGTAAAACTTGTCCTATTTTTTTTTCATCGACACACTTTTGTTATTTGTGGGTCAATTTTATAATAAAATACAGTGCATCACTAAGAACCACGACAGCCCAAGCACAAGGTACCATGTGCTCCTTTCCCACAGAGGAAATAACTACGTGTCTCTTTGTAATGGACCTCAGAGTTGCATATGGGTTTAATCAAAACTCCTGTTTCAGATACCCCATGGTACTCATCATTGGTCCAGGCACGTTTTTCTTCCTTTATCTCTTTATTTATCCAGGAATAACAATACAATCATAAATTTCCAGGACAAGATCCTCCCACCAGTGGCCCTTTTCCCACAAAGCAAACCGACTCAATCTCCTTTTACAATGGACCTCAGAGAACACATGTGATCAATTATTATCCATGCCTCGTAGCAAATCCACATTCACCATTGGTCCTTCTGTGGTTTTATTTAATTTGCCCATGTTTTAAAGATGTTTCAATGAAAAGTGATGAGACCCCACCTTTAACCCATCTCAAAACAAAGTCTTCCATTGGCTTATAGGCTGCCACACAAAACAGTTGCCAGCCAGCACTACCCCCACATGGAAATGTTCGAGTTCTCTGTGGAGGTCGATAAAATGAAATATCAAGTAGTTCTGAGAATGAATGAAACGACTATCTCGACTGTGCCAACTTAGATTAAAAGTAACATTGATGACATATTCCCATCACTGGTCCATATTTGGAGATTTTTATTTCTTTTATGGACACCGATTCTTTGAACATACACTCACGAACAAAGCCTCCCAAGCGGGGATGGGAATTCTGAGTCTTACTTACATTTCTGTCTACGGTCTTTACACACAGAACTAACTGCCAAGATGTTGTTTCTTAGAAAATGAGTAAAGTCTGCTGTCTTACGGTTATTCTGTGGAGGAAAAAGTAGAATTAACCTAGGTTCTTAATGCACGGTAAGTATATGGAATTAGGTAGTAATAAATTTTGGTACTTCTCTAATTACTCTAGTACACTGCTTTCACATTTAAATAATGTACTAGCCACTGCTCAATCTACCACATAAGGATAAAAACAGTATCTATCAAAAATATCTTTACATATGAATAGTTTAAACAAAACAAAAAATAATTTTAACAGATGTTTCTTTTGCAGAATTGGGTACATTTAAATCCTTATTTTATGGGGCGCCTGGATGGCTCAGTCACTAAGCGTCTGCCCTCGGCTCAGGTCATGATCTCAGGGTCCTGGGATCGAGCCCTGCATCAGGCTCCCCGCTCTGTGCAAAACCTGCTTCTCCCTCTCACAACCCACTCCGCGTGCTTGTATTCCTGCTCTCGCTAACTCTGTGAAATAAATAAACAAAATCTTTAAAAAAATAAAAAATAAAATAAAATAAATCCTTATTTTACAGTCTCTGTGATAACTCATGCCACGACAAATCAGAAACCACAATGAGATCCCACCTCACACCAGTCAGAATGGCTAAAATTAACAAGTCAGAAAACGACAGATGCTGGCAAGGATGCGGAGAAAGGGGAACCCTCCTACGCTGCTGGTGGGAACGCAAGCTGGTGCAGCCACTCTAGAAAACAGCATGGAGGTTCCTCAAAAAGTTGAAAACAGAGCTACCCTATGACCCAGCAATTGTACTAGGTGTTTGCCCAAAGGATACAAATATAATGATTCAAAGGGCACCTGTACCCCAATGTTTATAGCAGCAACATCCACAATAAGCAAACTACGGAAAGAACCCAAATGCCCATCCACAGATGAATGGATAAAGAAGAGGTGGTAGAGATATATAATGGAATACTATGCGGCCATCAAAAAGAATAAAATCTTGCCATTTGTAATGTGGGTTGAACTAGAGGGTATTATGCTAAGCAAAACAAGTCAGTCAGAGAAAGACAAATACCACATGATTTCACTCATATGTGGAATTTAAGAAACAAAACAGATGAACATAGGGGGAGGGAAGGAAAACTAAAATAAGATGAAAACAGAGAGGGAGACACACCGTAACAGACTCTTAACTCTAGGAAACAAACTGAGGGTTGCTGGAGGGGAGGTGGGTGGGGGGACGGGGTAACTGGGTGATGGGCATTAAGGAGGGCACGTGATGGAGTAAGCACTGGGCGTTAGAGTCGACTGATGAATCACTGATTTCTACCTCTGATATGAATAATACATGTTAACTAATCTGCACTTAAATGAAGAATTTTTAAAAAGACTAAAACTAAGACAAAAAAAATCTGCTACCAGAGGACATTTACCAATGTCTGGAGATATTTCTGACTGTCACAACTGGCATCGAGTAGAGGCCGGGAAGTTACTAAACATTCTACAATGTACAGACGGCCTTCCTGGCAACGAATTATCCAGCCCAAGATGTCAGTAATGAGGGGTTGAGAAAATCCTGCTGTACCCTCTTCAAAATAATTGGTTGAGGCATAAATGTATTTATACATTCACTCACAGTATCATCAATATCTACAAACACACAAAGTGGATTAGAAATTTAAATAGAATTAACAGCTGTTCATATGCTCATTACCCCCAGCTATAACCAACCAGAGCATGTTTTCTTGTTTTCAACAAGCAACCAGCACCTTGAAGACCACACAGAACACACGCGGATTTCCCGGTACTCATCTGCGTATGTTCCTGTCCCAAACAGGGATCAGCTTTAATCAATATATTATGGATATTATGGATATATTCTGGATACTTCAGAAAATATTAATAAAAAAACACATTACACATTCTCGTAATCGGGGGACATATGGCTCTCTATCTTTATTTCTGTGTTTATTTATTCATTTATTAATTCACTTAGAGTGCAACAACCCAGACCTATGAACCTTCACAACTTAAGAACAAAAGGCTGAATATTACTAACCTCTGCTGGAAGCTGATTAACCACATAGGCATTAACTAGGTTTCTGACCTCAGAGTTATAGGGTTTAATCAAAATCATTGATTCAGACACCCCAGGATACTCATCATTGGTCCAAACTTGCTCCCTGACAGCTGAAGGATAAATGGCCTAGATCTTTATCACTGAACGAATGTTTAAATTAACCATGATACAAACTGTAACATTAAAAGCCCTAAAAATGAAGGATGTTTAAATTAACCATGATACAAACTATAACATTAAAAGCCCTAAAAATGAATAAAAATCCTCCATGATTTTTAATAAGCGCTAATTGTTCTGAGTGGGATTAATTGTACACATTGTTTAGTTTCCATTATTGGTCCCTCTGTGGCACCTTTTCATTTCACTTAGGTGTTAAGCATTTATTCCTTTGACATAACGCCATAATGAACCACCCAAGCTGAGGACATGAATTCTGACTATAATCTACTACAGTCTCTAGGCTCCTTACCCACAAAAGGTAAAAACTAAAATCTTTAGTACCACTGAATAAACAAATCAGCTATAGTGTTTTTGTTGCATGAATTAAAGTACACTTTTTATAAAAAACAGAACAGCAGAGACTGAACTTCTTTTAATGGACTTGAGTCAAGAGGTACGAGATGAATAAACAGTTGCTACCATATTATCATTACTGACTCAAGAAGGACTCCATTTTTTATTGACTTATTTACCATTTACTTTTTCACTTATGCAGAGAACAGTGTGAAATCGACCACCCACGAGTCGCGAAATAACTAAACGTAACTAGTCCTTCTATCCATCTAGATATTCCCTAACTACATGGTTCCCAGCCTCATTCAACTTTTTCAAGGGGCCACACTCATGCTTTGCTCAGAGCATACCATGAAGCACTGGTCTCAAGTTCGCCCTAATGTATACCCTATCTATTGATCCACTCATGTTTCTCTCTTATTTAATTAGTCAAAGAAAAATTTGATTATTTATTCAGTACAATATCAGGTCAAACATAAATGTGGGTCATTTTAGAATGTTATCATTGTCCACGAATCACTCTTATTTATTGACTTACTTAATTTTTCTTTTTCAACAACACAACACCAGCATGAGAATATGAACCATTATCAACCATAAATATCCGTGTCCATAATCCCTATCCATAAATTTAACAACTCAGTGGTTGCTTTTAATGAACCTCAGTTGTACAAAACTAGGTAAACGTAAATCTTTATTCTATTGCATATTCCCACCAATGAAGCACAAATTTTTCTGACTGATGTCTACTGATTCATTTATTTATTCATGTATATAATTAGGCATAAAATAAATCAATTACGTACCCATTTTTCTAAAGACTTTCTCATGCAAATTTCCATGTACACCTGAACCTAGTAATAACACACTGTACGTTAACCAACCGGAATGTAAATTAAAACTTAAAGAAGAAATTTCTATGTGTACTTTACCCAAAGTGGAAGGAGCTGCGAGTTCTGTTTTTTTTAATCTGGACAACATTTGGGTACAGAAGGAGCAATCATTATCTTTGGTTCATAACACATATTCCTCACTGGCCTTTGCTCAGCCTTCTTTTGAATAATTAACCTGTATAGAAATGCACTCGTTCATTCCCCTATGACAGTGTGTCAGTATCAATGAAAACCAAGGCACGGAACAGGAATATTAAATATCCAGTCTACATGCTCGTGGCTCAGAGACATAACTGATAATTAAATCTTCTTTTGATTTAAAAAAAATTAAACTACTGAATATGGTTCTATTGACTGTAACTCTGGTCATATGACACATCCTCCTTATGGATTCATGCTTGGCCCTCTCTCAATAAGACAATATTAAAACAATCGATTATTTATGTAAGCCCTTTTTTTTTTGTCCCTCTTAACTAAAACCACCAAACAAAGAATCAAAGCAGCAACATGAACTCTCAGGTCTATCTGTCCATACCTGTCCTTATGGAAGAGTTCAGAGCTTTGATTTATCTGTGGAACCCAGTGCTTTAAATATATACACTAAACACAATCTTCGTTTTATTACACAACTTCACAGTTGGTCCACGTGTGGCCCTCCTTATCTCTGTTCATTTACACATTTCCTTATCCATTCAGGAGTCCATTTGCCAAAGACTCTACCTTTTCTCTTTTACACGGTAGTCCGCAGATTTCTGGACAAGGATTAATACAATTTTGTTTGTTCCATGTTTATTTTTTATTTTTATCTTTTTCAGTTTATATTTAAATTCCAGTACAATTAACCTATAGTGTGCTACCAGTTTCAGGTGTACAATATAGTGACTCAACACCGGTAGCTCATCGCAAGTGCCCTCCTCCATCCCCATCACCTGGTCCCCCACCCCGCCCCCACCTCCCCTCCGGTGACCATCAATTTGTCCTCTGTAGTTAAGAGTCTATTTCTCAGTTTTTCTCTCTTTTTTCCTTATGCTCCTTTTGTTTCTTAAATTCCAAACAGGGGTGAAATCATAAGGTATTTCTCTTTCTTCGACTAACATATTTCACTTAGCATGATACTCTCTAGCTCCATCCACATCATTGTCAATGGCAAGATTTCATTCTTTTGGATGGCTGAATGACGTTCCATGGTACACAGCTACGCATCACCACCTCTCCTTTATGCCTTCATCCATCCGCGGCCTCTTGGGCTGCTTCCGTATCTTGGCTACTGTACCTAATGCAGCCACAAACATAAGAGCACCTGTGTCCCTTTAAATTAGTATTTTTGTATTCCTCGGGTAAATATCTAGTAGTACAATTGCTAGATTGCAGCTCAGTTCTAGTTTTTAATTTCTGAGATGCCTCCATTCTGTTCTCCAGAGTGCCTCCCCTGGCTCCCACTCCCACCAACTGTGCAAGAGGATCCCCTTTCCCCACATCCTATACAATTTTAGATTCAGACTCAACCCCTGCTCCAGGATCCATCCCTGTCCCCAGCTCTGCATTCTTTTTCTTTCAGTCTTTTATCCTTTCATTTACTGTTTCATTGACTGTTTCAATAACAACAGAGTCAATACACACAAATCACAAAAGCTCAAAAAGAGTGTCTTGCATATGACAAAGATCAATCAGTTTCTCATAAAGCTAACACATCAGATCTCCTCTGCAGCGGCCTTCAGAGCAGCCCATGTGTGCTCCCTGAATTATCTGAAGGGATGAATATTAAAATCCACGGTCATGTAAGTATCACGTATGAACATGTATGAAACACCTCCCATCTTTTCTTAAGGAGTCATCAATTGTGCAAAATTGAATGAATCATCATGATCTAGGGTTCTAAATCTATTCCTGTCGTAGGTGATACACAGCACTCTTCAATGTTACACTCCTCCGTGGCTCTTTATTCCTTGGAATACTTCAGGGAACGCCCTTGTGCAAGTTCCCCTGAGGACATAAATTTTGACTATTACTCACCTCGGTATTTCTGCTCCTTAACCCCAGAGCCAGCATCGTCATCATTAGATAGGATTTAATCAACTATAGTGCCTTAATTCTGAGATAAAAATCAGGCTTTAAAAATCATGGAAAAAAGCAAAATAATAATAAAGATGAAAAAATCGTAAATTTAAGTATGTTTAAAAGATATTAATTATGGGGACGCCTGGATGGCTCAGTTGGTTGAGCGGCTGCCTTCAGCTCGGGTCATGATCCCAGCGTCCTGGGATCGAGTCCCGCATTGGGCTCCTTGCTCCACAGGGAGCCTGCTTCTCCCTCTGCCACTCTGCCTGTGCTCACTCACTCTCTCTCTCTCTGACAAATAAATTAAATAAAATCTTTTAAAAAAAAGATATTAATTATGGAATTCTAGATAACACATAAAACTTGTCCTTCTTTTCATTGGCTCAAGAATATCACTACTGTTTATTTACTCCATCATTTAATTTTAATTTTAAATAACATAATGAACACCATCACATCGACCACTCAACCCGTAAGTAACAACCATGACTATTATAAACATGCCCATGTACTTGACACAGAGTAAAAATCCACATTCTCCTTTTCAATGGGTCTTTCTTGTACTGACTGGATAAATTTAAATTCTTGTTTCATAGCGTATTTTTAATAATGGCCCATGGTTGACTCTACTTAATGTATCCATCCATTCATTCATTCAATTACTCATGGAACAATTTTACCTGTTGTTCATTATATAAACTAAAGGCAGGGGGTACCTGGGTGGTTTAGTTGGTAAAACATCTGACTCTTAATTTCAGCTCAGGTTGGGATCTCAGGGCTCTGAGATCGAGCCCCATGTCAGGCTCCACACTCAGCAGAGAATTTGCATTAGGATTTCTCTCCTGGGGCACCTGGGTGTTTCAGTAGGTTAAGCGTCTGCCTTCCACTCAGGTCATGATCTCAGGGTCCTGGGGTCGAAACCCACATGGGGCTCTCTGCTCAGCAGGGAGCCGGGATCCACCCCCCGCTCTCTGTCTGCCTCTCTGCCTACTTGTGACCTCTCTGTGTGTAAATAAATAAATAAAATCTTTAAAAAAAAAAGAAAGAAAGAAAGGATTTCTCTCCCTCCCTCTTCCCCTCTCCCCATTCCCTCTCTTTTTCTTCTCCAAATAAAAAAAAAGAAAGAAAAGGCAAAGATGGTAGCTTCCCATATGGCGAGCAGAACATACAGAGCTCTCAAATCACTACGATGTACACCTGAGACTAATACAACATTGTGCATGAACTATAATTCGATTTAAAAAAACAAGAAGAAAAAAAAAGAAAGAAAAATGCTAAACTAGGCAGCCCCTCAGAAAGGCTGTAACTAATATGTGTGTCTGTCTGTTTTCATTATACAAAGCAGGAAAAGCCTAGCTTTTTTTAAATATACAAACAGTAGTGTGAAACAGGATAATCATTATCGTTATTCCATAATAAGGGTCCTAACTAGAGTATGATTTTCACCTTTTAAATAAAATATGAGTCTATTCATACGCTTACAATAACATGTAATATGTCATTATTGTAACTATAACTCACTGGACAAAACTTTAACGTGTGATCAGTTGCTCACAGTAAATCATCTTGTTAAAGGACCTATTCTCATCACTGGTCCATAGCCTTTTTTTTCAATTCGAGTCTTATCATTTACCTAGGCAAACATCTTTCCCTTTTCTTAATAAAATGAGCCATCAGCAAACCCACCATCAATTCATAATCACAACATCCAATCTTGGGCATACCTTACCATCTGTTCCCTGCTGAACAGGGCAAAACCTTGACCTACTTATTTTCCCAGACCTCACCGCTTCCGAAAGGTTACAAAACATGCTCTCATAACTGAAGGATGTGTGCCTTTCCTTGTCCCCATTCGTCCCTTCATCTCTTTCCTTAACGGGCGTTACTTCATTTGTGATTAAAAACCTCACACACCCACCCAGCACAAAGCCAAAGAGCAGGACCCCTGAATACTCTTCTCGCGCTTCGCAAGTACGTTCACCGCGGAGGGAATAACCAGACCTCTCAGAGTGACCTCAGAGCTACGGAGCTTCATCAAAATCTTTAATTCAGACACCCCAGGGTACTCATCACTGATCCGAACTTGGCAATTTTTTTTAAAGATTTTATTTATTTATGAGGGAGGGAGAGAGAGCAAGGGCAGGGGGAGGAGGGGCAGAGGGAGAGGGAGAAGCAGGCTCCCCACTGAGCCTAACAAGGGGCTCAATCCCAGGACCCTGGGAACACGACCTGAGCCGAAGGCAGACGCTTAACTGATTGAGCCACCCAGATGCCCCTCAGCTTGACACCTTCTGTCTTCCTCATTCACACCTTCCTTTCTGCATCATTTTTACGCGCATGTAATACAGTCCATACAGGCACGAATCACAAATGCCAAGAACGAGAGGTATGATTCTCACCAAGGCTCGCCTATCCGTACCTGTCCCACAGTGCTGAAGGACGTTCGATGTCCTTGATCAGTGCACCTCTGGCGGGTCCCACTGTGCTTCCTGTCAATATCACACTGATAACATGTTTTTGCTTTTCTCTTTACTTCACGTGTCCACGTTGCAAAGATGTAACATGAACAACTGAGCCATCCTCTCCCCTCACAACTCGAAAATTGTTGTCTTCTCCCATCCTCCTATGTTCTCCTCCCTCGCAAGGAAATAACGTTAATCTTTATCAAGGAAGGGATATTCTTCCACATGTACTTTGGTGCCAAACTAAGATGACATACTTTTATGTGGCCCCAAAAAGGACCAAACCATGAACGTGGGTTCATAACATATTTGTAAACTTGGTCAATGTTTGTCATTCTTTGATTTCATATCTATGTAAATATCTCTATGCCTATATCTACCTTCCTACATGAAGCCAGTTTTTTAAAAATACTGCCTTGGAAATTCATGAACAATCTCCCCAGAGAACAGGGACTTCGATAGTTATTTATCCTGTTCTCTGTGCTCTTTACCCACAGAGGCAACAACAGAGACCTTCACCGTCGGAGGATGATTAAGCTGGCTGTGGTGTGTCCATGCTCTAAATGAAAAAGCCAATTCTAGACAGTCTGTCTTAGATGTGTCTAAGTAGATGTGAGTTGTACACAGTCAGATTAATAAGAAAGCGGGGTCATATCACGTTCTCATTACTGGTACAAAACCTGTGCTCCTTCTTATTTGTCAGCTCATTTTACGGTTAATTTTTGGCAATGTAAACATGATGGGATCTAAGACTTGGGAATGAAGCTTGTAACCATTATACTCCCTACTCTTAAGTAGCAGCTTAATAATTATTGTCAGGACCTTTACCTGTGCAACATTGTATAGATTTAGAACCTGGCATCATGGCCCATTCTCAACACTCCTAGTTTCATTGCTTATCTATCTCATCGCTGTGGAATAATCTGACCACCTATTTATTTTTTTTAAATAGTCACAATAAATGATGAAGACACATTTCAAAACCTAACATTGTATGTAGTGCATTACACAGAACATAAGTATAAAATATGATCAAATTACCTATACACGTATCTATAATAGAAACTTTCCAGCTGAAACTCAGAACTGAAATACCGTCATTCCATAAACCTATCTCCATATCCTCAACCCAAGTAGGAAGAAACTAGATCCCATTTTCTTTATATGGATCAGAAGGATAGCGCTAGATGACTTGTTAACTTTACTTCACGTCACACCCTCCATATTGTCCAGTTTGCCCTCCTGTAAGTAATGATTTGAAAAGGATCACGCTGGGGCATGATCATGGGGGGTTCAGTGGGTTAAGCCTCTGCCTTCAGCTCGGGTCACGATCTCGAGGTCCTGGGATCGAGCCCCACGTGGGGCTCTGTGTTCAGCGGAGAGCCTGCTTCCTCCTCTCTCTCTGCCTGCCTCTCTGCCTGCTTGTGATCTCTGTCTGTCAAATAAATAAATAAAATCTTTAAAAAAAAAAGAGAGAGAGAGAGAAGAAAAATTAAAAAAAGAAAAAAAGAAAAGTATCCCGCTGTGGCGGCCTGGGTGGCCGACTCAGTCAGTTAAATGTCTGACTCGATTTCGGCTCCGGTCACGATCTCAGGACTGTAAGACGGAACCCTGCATAGGGCTCCACACTGGGCGTGCAGCCTGCTGAAGGTTCTCTCTCTCCCCCATCTCCCTCTGCCCTTCCCCCTCTAAAAAAAATAAATAAAAAGATCACATCCATTCCCTCAGTAACTTTACAACAATACGTAATTATTTGGGATTCTACGACCCCACACTTGAACACCTAAACACAATAACAACTGCCCATAGCCACACACTCATTGTCCACAGAAATAACTCTGTCCCCTTGTTCATTTTGGGCTTTTAAATAAAATCCAGTGAACACAATTAAATGAAGTATGATGGATGTCACCCAGCGTATCCTCGACCCTGGCCCGTTCTTGCTTCTTTTCAGGGAGAGAGTTACATCATCATTGGTTTACGTAAACATTTTTTCCTTCTTCTTAAGAAAACCACAACCAGCAAATTCCCACCGATCCAGACTGTGGACATGCGTATACAGACACGTCCCCGTGTGCTCCCACGTGTCTGGGCTTCCTGTGCGCTCTGAAGGGGGCAACAGCTTTTACCTATGTGTTATATTGAAACTTGGTATTTAACAAATGTATTCCTAATAACACCTGTCCATGACACACTCTCCTAAACGATTCACACGTGACCTTCTTTGTATTCACTCAGACATTCAAATATGCGTGCATTCCCGGACTCACTAACATTCCATACAATCCATACGCAAAAAATGGCTAAGCCCGAAGAAGAACCAGATCCCCGGAGACCTTGAACTCTAGTCTCTTAGAGAGAATGACCACGTCTCTTTATTTACTAGTTTACTTTCAGTTCCTATAGGGTTAACATACAATATTACACAGACCTCAGAGTTTAGGGCTTAATCAAAATGCTTGATTCATATACCCCAGAACTACTCATCATTGATCCAAGCTCAACATTCTTTTACTTCATTTATCTGTTTGTACCTCGTGTATTGATTGTTTGTGCATTATTTATTGATTGCTTCATTCATGGCCTCGTTGATGTAAAAAAAAGTTACTTCCTACGAAAACCTGGAAACCAGATCTTTGAGTACTGCATAGAGCTGTTTTACAAGCCTTTTCCCACAGAGCTGGTAAATGAGATCTCCTTTTAATTGGGCCTCAGTGCTGTACGTATGGATTAATCAATAAACTTGCTCCTACCCATCCCGCATGTTTCACTGCTCTGTTTGCTCATCTTTCACTTAATTTCTTCATATTTTTTTTAAAGATTTTATTTATTTATTTGACAGACAAGAGATCACTAGTAGGCAGAGAGGCAGGCAGAGAGAGAGGAAGGGAAGCAGGCTCCCTGCCTAGCAGAGAGCCCGACGCAGGGCTCGATCCCAGGGCCCTGGGATCATGACCTAGGCCGAAGGCAGAGGCTTTAACCCACTGAGCCACCCAGGCACCCCAATTTCTTCATATTTTAAAAAAGAGTACACTGAACCTACCAGTTGACTCTCTCCATCACTAGGATGCTGGCAACACTTTCTCTCTTCTTAGGTGCTCCTTCCTCAAAGACTTAACCTCAACGGTTATCAACAGAGAATGTTCTTAGAATGTGGTGCAGACATAAAATGGAACAGTAAGGAACTCTGAAAATGAATGCCCAAAAAACCCTCAAACTTTGTTTCTAATGGATCTCGAACTAAAATGGACGAATCTTACTCCGTGGTTCACTACACATTCCCCGCTGCGGCCCAGGCCCCGTGTGTCTGATTTCACTGATTTCCCGGTGGCCGCCCTGCCTTCGGGACAATCCCACAAAAAACCCACACGAATTACTGTCAAACCAAGAACACAGACCATCACTTACATGAGTCACTTTGCTCCTTACCCACAGAAGGGACAGCCAAGGTCTTCCTCAGCGGATAACGAAGAAATCAGACTGAATCTGCGAAGTAAAAAGCAGATTTCGGAAAACTAAACCAGTACAGATGTAGATTTTTTTTAAAGACACCTGAGTCCTGCTGTACTAGATTTATCATAAATCCCTTTTTTATTACGTTCCCATTATTAGCCCCTAAATGGCCACCTTTTTATTTACTGACTTCTTTAATTATTTATATATGTAATACGATGACAACCGCTAAGTACAAGAGTTAAGAACTAGGTCTATTCCAAGTCCTGTCTATTAAACCCTAACCACATAAGGCTGAGCCCAGACTGCCTTTCGTGTGGATCTTCCTCGATTAGAATCTGGCAAATTTACATCTTCCTTTCCTGACACATTCTCATCAATGATCCATGCCTGACCACACCCTGTAAATTTGTTCCTTTATTTGTCTGCTTTTGGTTTATTTGCTCATGGAATGACTTGTTCGTATTTTCTCCTTAAAAAAAATACAAAATACTATTATAAGTAATTGTCTCTATGCCCTTTACCCAAAGTGGGCAGAGCCCCACATGGAAATCTTTTACTTATATGGACATTGGAAGGGTAGAGCAAGATTAATAATGAACTTCTTCTAATGACGTATTGTCCTCATGGATACATGTCTGCCCTCTTTGAAATAACCTCTTCCTTCAGTCACTTATAATATCATCAATATTTGTGAAACTACATATCCAGAGATATCTAAATGATACTAGTATCTTCCCATCTACTCAAATACCCACAGAAAAACATGTGTTTTTCGAAAATGATACTGACTGAGAATAAGTAATCTAATCATAACTCCTCTCACGTAACACATTAACACTGCCCATGCTTGGTATTCTTTAATTAAGTATTCTATAATCAATATTTATTATGTTTCCCTTTTTTCCCCCTTTTCTTAATAAAATTCTTAATAAAGTTAACAACCACCAAGCCAGAAGCTTATGGACATCTGCCTACATGTCTCCAATAAAACATGGCAAAACCCTCGAACTCCTCAATTCCTGGAACTCGGGTCCTCAGAAATATTTTAATAATAATGTATTTCTCACTAGATTCTCTCATGATTGGCCAATACCTAGCCCTTGTTGTCTTTATTCGTGGATACGTTTCTTTATGTACTCACATGCCGATCCACTAATAAAAGGACCTAGACCTAAGAGGTACGAAAGCCCCAAGCAAGATGCCTGTATTCCTAACTTCTGCCCCAGGTCGTGTCCCGCCAAGGCAAGACGAGAGGTTTGTTTGTACGATGGACCTCAGAGTTTTAGGGTTTAATCAAAATCCTTGGTTCAGACACCCCAGGTACTCATCATCGGTCAAGGCTTGGGACTCTCTTCATTTAATCAATTATACATTTGTTCATTCGTTCATTCATCCATTCATTCACCAACAGTCTTCACTTGTGTTTCTCTACCAACATGTTAGACACCCAAATCATGACCAATGGTGGAATGTATAAATCAAGAGTGATGGAAGATAAAATGAAACATTAACCAAATGTAAAATGGAGAGTTCTCTTTCATCTTTTTTTGAAAACGACCTTGCTTCAAAGGGCCTAGTGAAAGGAATGCTTCCTCCAATCCATTATGAGAAAGTCGTATGGGCTTTGTGGTGGTGATGACTTACACAAACCACAAACTTTAGTCCAAGCCACAATGTCACCCTTGTACCATGCACGGACTGATCTTTGTTATTCATTGTTTAAAGTAAATAATATTATAATGTGAGGAATATTGACGAAAACACTATTCAGCCCTCCAACTGTGACTTGGACAAAACATTTCTGATCCTCTCCCACCAAGATACAAAGATCTTCAATGTTAGAGAAACATTCACATAAGCTGCAGAACACACACAAGGTAATATAAATAGTTGATAAAATAAATGAATAAGCCTGTGTCTTTCTTCCGTGAACCTAAGAGTTTTTTGCCTCTGAATCTCAATTGCATAGAACTGGGTTAATTATCATCTTTTTTTGTTTCATGAGACACTCTCATCTCATAACCCTCTATTATTAATTTGTGTATCATTAATTTATATATTTATTTATTCATGCTTAATATTCCAGAAACTCCCATTACCCAACTACCTAACACAATTGACTAACACCGTAGCCATTAGTCACATATCACAATTTAAATTTAATAAAATTCAATAAAAATCAAATAAAATTAAAAATTCAGTTCTTCATATACACTGGCTACAGCTCTTGTGCTCAAGAGTCACATGTACCTCATGGCTACCATATTGGACAGAACAACTCATACAAAACACGTTCATCACTGCAGAAAATTATATTAGGCAACACTAATAAATACTCTTTATCTTTACAGAATAGTCTAGAACTTTTTCTAATGAAGCTAACATGGGTTAATCATAGTTCTTGATCATGAGTCCCTGCTGATTCCCTCTTGTTTGATTTGGTCATTTCTAAAGAAGTTTTAATGACCAACCATAAATCCAATTTTTTACAGGTGAGAATGGAGACATGATCTTTCATTTCCCTTTGTGCTCCTCGCTCAGAGTTAGCATCTTAGATTTTTATCTGAACAAAATTGTTTAAATACACGATGCATATATACTCAGTGAAACAAGGAAGCTGGTAAAAGGCATGACACAGACTAGATTATTTCGATAGATGTCAGAAGTGCAGAACTAAATTAACTGTCCTCTTCAGGCCCTTCTCATCACCCATCCATGTTTTGGCCTTTCCTGTATTTTATGCAAATATGTAATTACTTATTTTTTACTAAAATCAACATCCAACACACCGTGATGCAAAAACAAGAGTATTGACGACTCCTTAACCAACACATTTTTTTTAATGGTCCTTAGATGTACAGAATTAGAATAATCTTAATTCTGGGGTCATGAGATATTTTTATCATGGGCCCTTGTTTGCCATCTCTTTATTCCTTGATTTGTGCACTCGTGCATTTCCTTAGTCATGAACACCCTTGAACCACTTCCCAGCTGAAGATTTAAGAACATCAACTATTACTTACATTTTCTTTACGTACCTTATCCATCCAAACAAGATTCAACATCCTCATCAATATTGCGTGATTAAACGAACCATGGTGTGTCCAGTTTGCGTAACAGAAGAAAACCGTTCAAAAACTGAACACCCTGAATCATTTTCAGTGGCTTTCACTTGTGTAGAATTAAAATAACGAGCCTTAGTTCATGGAACATTATCCTCATTGGTCTACAATTGGCCCTTTCTAATTTTATCTATTCCTTTCAAAAAATCATAAAAGAATACCACAGAGAACTACCAGTATCTATGTCTTCCTGACCATCACTTTCACCAAGTTAACACCCAAGTTTATCAATGCAGAAGTGGGTACATAAACCATAGTGTAAAAATGAATAGTAAAATGCTATTAAAACAAATAAAATAGCGTAGATTTTTTGTTTTAATGTGCTTCAAATTTGCAGGATTATGTAATCATAAATCTTGTCTTCACTAGTCCATGCTTAATCCTTTCTGATCTTATGTACACGTTCATGTATAATAAATCAATAAACAGGAACTCACCATTCATCCCAAGAATAAGAAAAAGCAACAATTATATTTATATAAAGAGATATGCATGTTCTATACATCTATGTGCAAGTGGGTATGGAGGAGGGTACGGATTACATGGGGCACTAGGTGTTACATGCAAACAATGAATCTTGGAACATGGCATCAAAAACTAATGATGTGGGGCACCTGGGTGGCTCAGTGGGTTAAGCCTCTGCCTTCAGCTCAGGTCATGATCTCAGGGTCCTGGGATGGAGCCCTGCATCAGGCTCTCTGCTCAGCGGGGAGCGTGCTTCCCCCCTCTCTCTTCCTGCCTCTCTGCTTACTTGTGATCTCTCTCTGTCAAATAAATAAATAAAATCTTGAAAAAAAAAAAAAAGAATGATGTATTGTATGGTAACTAACATAACACAATCAAAATAATGTATGTATATATGAATATAATTTTTTTTATTTGCTCAACTTCTACACAGACCGCAACCTAGTTATGTTATTTTTTAACTTGGTGACAATTATGCCAAATGTTCACCATCTTGGTTTATGACACAGTCATCTCATTGGTCTAGGCTTGACCATCTTTGACTGTATTTGTGCCTGTTCACGTTTAATAACGCGCACACACACACACACACACCCATCAGCCAACCACGCAACCTCAGAACAGTAAGACTAACCATCACTCACGTTGGTTGGTCCATGGCTCATTTCCCACAGAGGTCACGGCCAAGATCTTCATCAACACAGTGTCATGAGACCCACTCTAGGGCCTCCATTCTGTGGAACACAAGGTCCAGATTAAAAAAGATGAAACAACCAGGTATTCTCTAATGGCTATTGGATGAGCAACTCAAGACTAATCATGATTTGGTTCATGACACACTCTCACTGCTGGCCTAAACATAGGTCTCACTGTACGTATTTTTTCACATAATAATCTCATGATAATAAACATGCATGACCTCATCAAAAACAAGAGGAACAGCCACTGTAAGCATCTGCTCTATGCTTCTTACCCACAAAGGAACCAGCCCAGGTCTTCTTGCTAATGGACTCAGATATGCAGAGTTGAGGCAGTAACAATCTTTGATTCCAGGTATGATAGCATCATTGCTCCCTACATGTCCCTTTTACTGTTTTTACTTATTTTTTCTTTCAATACAATAAACACATCAGGTCAGCGCTAATGCAGAACAAAAATGTCCATCAGCACTTATTGTGGCACTTCTAATCCAATGCTTCTTACCCACAGAGGTCGAGAACGTTGCTTTGTTTTATGGTTTACGATGGTCCATCATTGTACAAGTGTATTAATCTTAACCCATAATTCATAAAACATTATCTTTGGTGCTTTATTACCAGCTCTCTTTCATTCCTTCATTTATTTATTCAACTACTTCATTTTTTTATTTTTCATTTAAATTCAATTAGACAACACATAGTACGTCATTAGTTTAACATGTAGCGTTCTGTTAATTTATCAGTTAAGTTTAACACCCAGCGATCATCACATCACATCCCCTCCTTAAGGCCCGTTACCCAACTACCCCAGCCGACACCCCCACCTACCCTCCTGCAACCCTGTTCGTTACTCATCTGATTCATAGTTAACTATACAGCAAATACACTCAGAGTCCCCAACCAGCCCCCAGCCCCCAGACCAATGACCTTTCTACATAACTGTTGATGTACTTCCCACCCACCATCCCAACACCCTGGGCTTTGTTTCCATTCTGTTCTGTTTTTGTTTTGTAGTAACTACAGTCGGATACAACAGATTACTCACAAGCCTTGTTTAAAAATACATCCTCATCACCAGTCCACGCTTAGACCTCCGTAATTTTACTTATGCATTCATTCACCTTTAACGAGTCAGTAAAACCCACTAAGCCCCACCTACACCCATGTACAGCTTCCTTCCCCACAGAGATCTTTCATCTGTCCTGAAAAACCCCCATGTGCCCATTCGACGGAACACAAAGCCCCATTACAAGGAAGAAAATAGCCTAGACCTTTTTTGTTTGTTAATATCGGGTTAGCAGACTTGGATTAATCATAATCTTTTGTCCAGAACACCTTCTCACAATTGCCGTATTTGAGGCCTTGATTACATTATTTCTTGAATCTTTATTCTTTTTAATAATAAAATTAATAACCACAAACCACTCCGATCTCTTTATAGCCCTCAGTTGTGGAGACTGAATCATGAACCTTGGTTCAGGTCGCTTCTGGCCACTCCCCCAGTGTTGCCCCTCTGTTTACTGACTCTTAAAACCTATGCACGAACCATGCCTGACCCCCATGCCCACGTCCCCGCTCGTGGACCCTTGCTGCCCTCTGCCTTCAATGGTCATTCCCGAATCTGCCAAGCACCCTCCCCTTCCCCTTTTGTGAACGTATAAAGTTTTATCACATTGTGGATTCCTGGCAAATAACTTCCACGGGCCACGGGCTTGCAGGGCCTCTGCAGGGCTGTCAAGGGGGAAGAATGACTTCATATGACTCACGGAGGAGCACACCCGCCAGGGGTTAGTTCGTAAAAGGACTCGAATCGAGGTCCTTGAGCTCTGTGTGCCATGACCACACGCTCACAGTCCTAAGGCACAGCCCCCAGGAGTTAGAGCACGTGTGCTCAACGCCACACTGCCTACCTCCAAATCCAGACTCAAGCCCTCACAGGCTGGGCGGCATCAGGGAAGTGAACGAACCTCTCTGTGCCTGTGTGTCACCGGGAAGCTAGTCGCAGCACTAGTCCCTGAGCAGAATCAGCCATTACTTTCCCACCAAGGGCAACCAGGTCAACTCCCCCACCCACCACCCTGTCTCTGAGCCCCTCACCCAAATCTTTCTTCCCTCTGCAGCAGCGCCCAAGCTGTGGTGCTAGACAGACAGACAGACCAGGTTCCACCCCAGCAGGCACTCATGAGCTGTGTAACTGCAGAGACGTGACCTGGCCTCTCTGTCTTGTGCCCCGACTTGTGCGATTTGTAGACTGAGGACAGCAGCACCCTCTGGGTCCAGCGTGAGGGTGCAGTGAGCTAGCTAGCGACAGTTCCTCAGGCAGCTCCCCACCCCGGAACACCCTCCCCCCTTCCCTCGCCCACCCGCCCACCCCACTGGCCAAACAGCCCCCGATCTGATTAGAGAAACGAATTATCTTGATGCTCAGGCCAAGCCGAGGGTTTCGGGAAGGATGGGCCTCGGGCAGGAAATTGTTGGGATCTGTTCTTTTTTGGACACGGCATCAAAGCTTAAACAAGTGCCCTGGAAAATAGAAATCCAACTAAGGGATGCGCTTTAGAAAACTGAAATCCATTTCATGAGATGGGGCTGCCCTCGGGGGAGTCGATGCCAGGAGATTCTTGATGATCAAATTGTTTCCCAGAAACTACACATGCGTCTACTCTGACCCTTACTGCCAATACAGCCAACTTCCTCCCTGCCCTCCCCGACTGGCCTGGTAGGTGCCCAGCACCCTCACCACAGTGCAACTCTTGAAACAAGAAACATTAAAATCAGATTAAATTATAAGACATACATCCATCCCATTTGTCTGTGTATAATGTACTCTGTGCATAAAGGCATCCGCGTGGGGGCTCTCCCTCCAGGCTGGGAACTTAGGCTCCTGCCTTTGCCTTCATCCCACCTCATGGCCTTGGGCAAGGCCCTTCTCCTCCCTGAGCCTCAGGTGTCAATAACCCACCAGCCTGCCCTCCCTCCCAGGTGGCGTGGAAGGGAAAAGCATCAAGTTGAAATGCGAGTTCCCTCCAAGCATCAGAGGATTATTAATGCTGTACCTCCTGCACCCAGCACGTAGTGTTCACAGCACGCCTTAGCATACATTATCTTGTTTGATCCTCACAGCAGCCCTGTGAATTAGACATAATAATCATAATTAGTCGATACTGATTGAATGCGGACAGTGCCCCAGGCACCACTCTGCCTGCCTGGCGTGCACAGACTGTCTTCTGGGGGGAGAGCGCGTACAACACAACAGCACCTCTTTTTTTCTTCCCCCCCAAAAGTTCTGAGCACACATTTTGTGCCAGGCACCGGTCTAGGTCCCAGGTTACAGCAGTGACCAAAACACACAAAATCTGAGAGCTCACATCCCGCGGGTGGAGACTGAACGGACAAAATTAAAGATAAGCACAAGAACGACGTATACCACGCAGTGGTAAGAACTACAAGGGAAAAAAAAGGAGAGAAAGCGAGAGCCCACAACCACAGGAAAGCCTCGCTGAGCAGGTGTCCCATTTTACACCTGGGGAAACTGTGCCTCAGAAAAGTTAAGTGACTGATAAGTGGTCACGCAGAAAAGAGGTGCTGAGCTCCGGAGTCTGTTGTCTCCACTTGTCCCCACTGCCTCATTTTTGTGGTAGATCTCGCTCTCTGATATCCCACCATCAGCCTATAAGGGGAGTGCATGAACGTGGACAGGGGTCAGTGCGACCTCCCACACAGGCAGTTCCAGAGGCACAGGGCATCTCCGGGATGTACTAATCACTCTGGATGGGAAAATACACTGACTTTCTTAAAGAAGACATGGTAGGACGGATCCTGATTCAGTGCCGGGCAATGCTGAATCAGAGCACACACCCATCAGAGCCCAGCAAGTTGGCACAGGTGCTAGTCCCGTATCCTACTAGGGTTGGGAGGCATCCAAGTGTATTCCCCCTCCCCAATACTCCCCCGACAGGCAGCTACACACTGCCAAGGCTTAAGCTGCAAATATCCTGCCCAGAAATGGGAGATGGTCACTCAGTCCTCACGCTCTCCATGAGCTAAGACTCCATGGAACAATTCTTCGTTCCAGCTGGCCACCCTCAAAAGAACAAAAAAATATTTCCAAAGTGATTATTTTCTCCCCCCACCAGAAAAAAAAAAAAAAAAAACAGAGAGACAAATTTGGCAAGAATGTATATGAGAATACAGGGAGAGCTGGCCCACTGCTGCTAGAAGCCATGAAATTGAACACACAACTTCATGGTCCACCTTGCCCCTTCATCTACTCAGCTTCTTTCCAGCTCCCATTCAACCTCTCCACAATTCTCAATACCCAAGGAAATTTCTATTCCAAGGACTAATGTTGCATTAGACAGATCCTGTCCATTTAGTATGCTTAATTCTCATTTCCTTAGCTACGGCTAAAACTTTCTAGGCTTAAATGTATATTTGTTTCTATTTCACAGACTCCCTCTCCAAAAGCAAACTCATACACCCCTCTGAGCACCTGTTCAGCTACCTATAGAATGTAGATAATGATTCTTAGCAGAGATACTGAATACCATCTCAATAAAAAGTCATGACAATTACAATTTTAACTATAATGGAATATGTACTGAATGTGAACCACATGTTTTAAGCTCTTTAAGTGTTTGACTCATTTAATTTTCAAGTACCCATTAATAATTAATGCTGTGGGGGAAAAAAAATAAAGTGCTGTTGGTAACCCCGTATTATTATTGAGGAAACTGAGGCACAGAGGTTAAATACTCACAAAACTAGTCAATGGCCATCCTAGGAATTAAGCCTGAGCATCTGGGATGTGTATAACAGGACTTAGCCCATATGCAGGTTATCAAAACATATCTGCTAAATTTGAGCCAAATCTTCAGGAAGGCTTGCTGATTTGCCCTTCAGCCCTCTGTCTGATTCCCTCCCTCCTCTCCTTGTACTCTTTTAGGTGCTAGATTCATTTTTTACATCTGCTGCCCTAAATATTCAGACATCATAGGAACCACCAGAAATTTGACTTGATCAATTACATTGCAAATGTCAGTGGTACAGCTGACCCTTATATGTATGATAGTAGCAAATAGGACAAGCTAGAGAAGGTGTTACTTGAGAAATAAATTTAGAGTCTGGGGGTTAAGAGGGCCAGGTCCCTGATAAACCAGGAGGGTGAGTCTGACACTGGTTTACCCCAAAGAGTGAATTTTTTCTCAGACACAGTCTTAGAGAAAAAGAAATAGGAAGAGGGTATGAGTTTAGAAGAAAAAAAAGCAGACCAGGGTTCAAATCCTGGTTCCATGCGGGTCCTTGCATGATCTGGGGCCAGTCACTTAGCATTCCTAAACCTCAATTTTCTTGGATTTTTTTTTAAAGATTTTATTTATTTATTTGACAGACAAAGATCACAAGTAGGCAGAGAAGCAGGCAGAGAGAGAGGAGGAAGTAGGCTCCCTGCTGAGCAGAGAGCCCAATGCGGGGCTTGATCCCAGGACCCCGGGATCATCACCTGAGCTGAAGGCAGAGGCTTTATTTAACCCACTGAGCGACCCAGGTGCCCCAATTTTCTTGTATCTTAATTGAGGGTGGTGATTGTTATCATGCAGGGTCACTGTGATGATTTAGATGAGATAAAATTATGCCAGGTGGCCACAGAAGGACTGAGCACGAGGCTGGGCTCGGGACGCAGCCAGCCAGGAGAGCCCTCGGAAGGAGGCTGCCTGCTGTTTTCTCAGTGCAGTCCCCTGCTGGGCCCGAGAATTGCTGCTGAGACGCTCCAGCGCCACAGCTGGGGCTTGGTCCCTGTGAGCCGGCAGCCCACCTGTAGTCCCAGAGCCCCCTGAGCCAGTCAGTTTGCTCGGAAGCAGAAGAAAACGCCAGCAAGCTCCAATCGGAGGAAACACCTCTTCAGAGACCAAGGAAGCCTTTGATGTTGGTGAGAAACTGACTATTCTCTCTCACTTTTCCATCTACCCACCCTCTGCACCTGAATTCACTCCCCCATCTCACCAGCAGGCTTTGACCACCACACCATCTCTCCATCTGCTGATGCCTGGCCAAGGCAAGCATCCAGCCATCCATCAGACCGAACGTCCATCCTTCCACCCCTCCATCCTATGCACAGGGATCAGACAAACCTGGATTGCAGTCCTGGGTCTTGCTTCCTAGCTGATCTTGGACAAGTCACCAACCTCTCAGAGTCCTCACATCTGTAAAAGAAAGGGCAATCAGTCTGGCTGGGGTGAGGATTTAGAGAGAGAGTGGACATCATTAAATGTTCATTCCCTCTGCTTCTGCAACTGGGCCAGGATGTATACAGGGAGTACATCTTGCATGACCTATTGAGAAGTGCTCTTTAGAAATTATCTGTGGTGTTTCACTGGCATGCTCCCCCTGTGGTCCCAGGGGCTGGGCGGTGGCCAGAGCATTCTGGGGTGGTGGTCCCTCCTGGACACCCAGCAGAGTGCGCCATCTAGTGGATCGGCAACCAGTGGGGTCCCTGGTAGGTCCTGGGTGGCTGGTCCGCTGTAGGGTGACAGTTCTGAGCCAGCCGGGGGTCCCAGGCCCCAGAGGGCAGGACTGCCCTCTTTCAGATGTGGCACCCCTACTGTCCTAATCACTCTGGGGGCCTGGACTGTCAGGAGCCTTCTGTTTTGTGCATGCCAGCCAGTTCTGTTTTGCCTACCCCAGCCCAACTCCCCTATAAATGTTTCCAGAAAAAATAAAAAGAATATTCTAGCACCTTCTGTTTTACCCAATGTCTGTTATGTATGAGAAACAGGGCTGGGGGCTTCCTGTGCACTGTCTCTTATCCTCTAAGTGACCCTGGGAGAGACTCAGCAGTTGCCCCATTTTCAGTAAAAAAACAGGTTTACTGAGGATGGGTTACTTAAAGGTGAGGGTAGATAGTCAGACCCCTGAATTTATATCTGGACTTACCTGCCATCATCCCAGTGCCCCCATGAAAGTGCAGGAAAAGAATTTGGACACTGATTTGAACAAGCCAACTGTAAAAGAAATTTATGAGTCAACCGGGGATATATGGATGCTGACTAGATGTTGGATGACATTAAGGAAAGGCTCTTAATTTTTTAACGGCGAAGGTGGCATTGTGGTTATGTTTTCAAAACCGAAAAGAGTCCTTCTTTTTTAGAGACAGGCACGGAGATATGCTCCGGGGAAACAACACGGTGTTTGGAATTTGCTTCAAAATAGCCTGGGGTGGGCTGGTAGGGGGACAGCACACAGCTTAGAGCGCTGTTGGCACCTGGATGGCAATGATGTGGAAACTGTGTAAATTGTGATGAAAATGTGTATTATTTTCTCTACTTTTGGGTTATTTCAGATTTTACATAATTGAAGGTTTTAACAATCAACAGGTAAAAATAAAGTATAGGAGGGGAGGGGCTAGAGGAGGGGAAGCCACTGGAAAAAAGCAAAGCCCAGCATCCAAACTAAATGTTGGGGGGTATCAGAGAGCTGATTCAGAGGAACAAATGCCTCGAAGTAGAGAGGGTACAAGAAAGGGGCCAGGGCTGGTGAGAGCAAACCATTCTGAGTCGGGTGGATTACGGAGAAAGCACAAAGGTGCGGGGTGCTGCAGAATGACATGCCCACCAGCCACCCCTAGGCCCTCCTGCCTCCTTCAAATACCCTGAGTTCCCCCTCTGGACCTCCTGGGCCCTCCCTGGCCCCTTTCCCCCTCCCTAAGCCATCCAGGCTCTAAAAGGACCAGCCAGCAGCTCCCCTCTCCAAGGCAGAGCTGCCCACCTGATGAGTCCTTCCTGAGACCAGCTTGGCTGTTAAGAATTGAGCTGTCTCGCTTACAAATGTCTTTTTTAGTTTTGCTTTTTTCTTTTTTTTTTTTTTAATTGCCTTTTGGGGAGGAAAAGAATTAGTGCTTTTGCCCTTAAACTGTGTACCAAGCAGTTCTCGGCGTCCTCAGCCCCCTACTCCCCCTCTCTCAGCCCCCTTCTTCTGCATCAGTCATATCACCCACAACCAACTGACTAACGCTTGACCCCAGGTCCAGCCAAACTCCCCGGACCCTGTGGACCACCCCTGCCCTCCTCCTCCCATCACTAATCCTGGCCCCTGTGCGGTGGGCTTCCTGGGCATGTCGCCACCATGGAAAAAGCTCCCTCCCTCCTTCTTTTCCCCACCGGACAGCTCCCCGGGACCCTCCTCCGGCAGCCGGCTACATTGCCATAGAGCCCTGGGTGAGGGAGGGGCGCAGCCGGCAGCGCCCCCGCCATGCCAGAGCCTGCCACCCCCTCCTGGCTGTCCCTAGCCGGCGCGGGGGGCCTGGCCCCCCTTCTCGATGACGCCGCAGTTAAAAGCGTCACTACAAAAGCAAAAGCACTGGTCCCTACTGACAGTCTCCCCCTCCTCACTTTCTGGGCTCAGAAATGTGGCCCAGGCAGCCCCCTTGTGGCACTTGGGGGCGCCACAGACTCTTGGCTGGTGGCTGAAGAATTCAGACTGTCTGATTCCACTGCACCGTGAGTTGGCACAAATCTTAAGTGGCCCAAGTCCTCCCGGCTGCAGACCTGGCTCAGCAGCCTCTCTGAGTCGGGGGCACAGCTCTCCTCCCTCCCTCCCTCCCTGTCCACAGCTCGCCCTCCTCGCACCCTCCCTCCCGGAACCAGAGCTCTCCTGTTGAATGCCGCTCCAACACGCTGACAGGTGTCTGACGACTGCAACAGCGGTGGGAGCAGGAGGGAAGGTGTGGGGACAGGGGGGTTTTCTTAGGGTGACGTTTCGGGAAACTGAGGAGCAGGGAGGCTCCCAGTCCCTGCGCCTGTCAGGAAAGGGGCCAGAGACTCTCCCTCCAAGAGTGGGTTCCGGTTTTGAGCATCTCCCTGAGGTGAGGGGCTGCCCTGAAGACTGCCCTCTGCTTCCCCCTCTCAGCCATCAAGCCCTCATCCCCTCCAAAGCCCGTCCTCCCCACGAAAAAGCCCTAGTGGCCCCCCCACCATGGGCTCCATCCTCTCTCACGCACTGTCCACATAAACAAGCCCCAGCCCCCTCCGTCTCTATCTGCAATCTGCTTGGAGGTGGGCAGGGCCCTCTCCACGTCAGGTTAATAATGCTGTTCTCATAAGCCTCTGCCCATAGGTGCTACCACCTAATTTTGAATCTGCCCTTCAAACGGATTGGGCCACAGAGGAGCTGGGATCTCAAGCACCGCTGGGAGGTGCTTAGCACTAATCAATCCATCCCCTGCCCACCCACGCCCCCCCAGCACTCGGCTCTGCCTTCCCGAGCAGTCTTCAGCAGCCGGGTGTGGTGGGGAGCTCCGGACGGCCTGGGGTTCCATCCCTGCCTGGCCTCACAGCAGCTGAGAGACGGTGAGTATGCGACTTCACAGTCTCCTGCCTCAGTTTCCTTATCAGCCCAATGGGGATTATGAGGCTGGTGCTCAGAGTTTTTCCCCCCTGGGTTGAGTCCTGTGCAGGCAGCCTAGCTCTGGGCTTGGCCCCAAGACAAGGCTCCATAAATCTCACCTGCCATCATCCACCACCCCCACCCCAGATCACTTGATGTGCAGAGACTGACTTACTCCCTGTCTCTCTCCCCCACCAGACTGAGCTTCCAGGACAGGAAGCCGACTGCCAGAGCTCGGGGTCCAGCCTCCCACTCGGGTCTGGGCCTGACAAGGTAGGTGCACTGCGGTGGTCTGGAGAGTGAGTGCCCGGGAAGATACCCAGAGCCCACAGCCTGTGGGATGCCCGGAGCCCACTGAGTTTCTCTTTCCCAGACAGCACCCCCTGCTGTCCAAGCCAGCCCTTCCAAGAGGCAGGAGAGCCAAGTGTCTCTTCATGCCTCACCCCGGGGCCCCGAGTGGTGTTACATAGGACGCAAATTCTTGCCGTATTAAATGCAGATGTGGATTCGCGGGCGTTTCTAGCGCCTGCTGCATCTACTGTGAGCTCACAGGCCAGGGGCTGCCTCTGGCTGACTTGATTTGTGCTATTAAGCCGGCAGAGGGGTCTCCGGCAGGCCAGGTTCCCGTTTGTATTCGGGGCAGGGTCGCGGAAGGCCAGACTGTTTTCTTTCTTGCGAGCCACTTGTTACACGAGCGCCTCCCTCCCTAGGTCCCGCTGTCTACTCCATAAGCATTCAGGCAGTGTCTGATGTGCGCTAGGCGACCCTTATCTTGTTTCATCTTACGGGGAGGGAGCCCCTCTCCCCTCTGTTGCACAGGGAAAAAACAGAGGCTCTGAAAAGTAGAGGGAATTGCGTCGCCTCACAGCGAGGAAGCGGGGAGTCCAGCCCGGTCTGGTGCTGTCTCAGGAGCCCCCCAGCCCCGCAGCCGCTGGCTGCCGCCGCCGCCGCCGCCGCTGCGGGCTGACCAGGGCCGGCCGGCAGCCAGCGGCTCCTGCAGAAAGGCAGGGGGTTTGCATAGAGAGCGTTCTCCCTGGCAACTAGCAGAGGGGCCATAAAAAACAGAGGGCTCAGACGCCGCTTAACAGAGAGATTGGAGCAGCTGGACCTGGGAGGGGAGACCCGCGCCCTCCCCTGGGCTCTCTGCAGAACAGCAGGGCAAAGGGCTCCGTCCCAGACCCCGCTGAGCTGGGGCAGAGGCGCCCCGGGACAGGTGTAGACGGCTGCGACCGGGCCAGTGACAGGGACCCCAAGTCTGATCCCCAGTGGGTGCGGGGGCTCGCCCCTCAGCACGGAGAGGGCAGCACTGAAGTGCGCGTGCTGTCTGCGGAGAGCCGAGGGCAGAGGGGGCGAGGGGCCGCTGCAGAGCCGCGGAGGCAGATGCAGAAAGCAGGGGAGGGCTCGGCAAAGCAGCTCGGTGTGCGAGCCCTGAGCGGGCTGCTCCGGGAGAGAGGGAGCTCCCTGTTACGGGAGGCATCCGAGCAGAGAGAGGCAGGCCGGTACTTGGCCGGGAGGCTGCAACACGGCTCCCTGCCCGGGCTGGCAGCCCGCACGTCTAGGCCTTTGAGGAGCTCCTACAGAGCTAAGTCCCGAGCGGGGCCGCCTGCGGAGGAGGCAGGCCGGGGTCAGAGCAAGGATGCGCAGACTTTTCTCATGTACCTTGCCCTGAGCTGCATGGCAAAGGCACGGAGATGGCTGGTGGAGCGCTCCTGTCACAATGAGGCAGTGAGGGAGAGGAGCAGAGAATGGGGGTGAGTGCACGGGGCCAGTGGGGGAGGGGGGAGGGGGGGGGCTGTGCAGCAGCCAACTCCCCATCTCAAGGGCCAGGCCACCTGGAATGGCCAAGTGCCTGCCCCAGCTCCCAGGCCCAGGAGGCTGGCCTGGGTCCTCTCTGGGGCAACAGGCTGGTGCAGCGGGTCGGGGGAGCCTTCCTGCGGGGGTGGGAGGGGGTAGGGGGGTAGGGGGGATCAGGGGGAGTAGGGGGCGGTCTGGTGAGTTGAGAGGCCGCCTGGTCATGGGAAAAGCAGGGCCTTTTTCTGGAGGCTGTGCCGAAGCCACGGATTCAGCCGGCTGCTGGACCGTGACTTGGATGCTCTGGGGACTCGTGAAAGCCCCCCGCCCGGCAATGGGGCCCAGGGGCCTGCATGTTGATGAATGCGGCCCATGCCGCATCGGGCGCTGGACCTCCAGGCCCATTCATGGGGGCTCAGTTCCCAGGAACTCTGGGTGGACGGGGCCTTTATCAGGGGACCCCCGCTAGACGAGGCTCTGTTCTGCAGTTTCTAAAGGAGTTTTCTTGTCTTTGTTCCCAGTGCAGGCGCTCAGGGAGCGCGCACGCGTGTGCACGTGTGTGTGTGTGTGTGTGTGTGTGTGTCCGCGCGCGCGCGCGTGCGAGAAAGAGACAGGCTGGCTGAGGGGCCAGCCCGGGGTTCCTTGTCTGTGAAATGACCAGGCTGTCCCGCCTCACCCACCGGAGGCAGTGACGCACTTTCATGGGGCAGTAAGAGCCTAAGACTCTGGGAGGGCAGGGGCACCTGGGGACCTGGGGACGGAGCCCCTGTGTCACTCCAAGCCCAATTGTCCCGCTCCAGACAGTCCCCTCTGCCAGGGCACTGCCGGGGTCCCGACAGCTGCTCTGACCCGCCGTGGGGGGGCAGCATCGTGTTGCAGGTGGAGAGTGGAGACTGGCTCCCCACAGACAGACAGACAGACAGGCAGACTGCCCCGCTGCCCCTACCCACTCGGGGAGCTGCTGGGAGACCTTGGGGAAACTGCGTTCCAGAGCCTGGGGTTTCCGTTGTTACTCCGTCCCTGCTCTTGTTTTCATCTATTAAAGGATTGCTTTGCAAGTGTTGATTTGCAAATGTTTGGGAAGGTGGTATTTGCATATGCGTCCCAGCCTCTGCCGCATTATGAGGGGGAGGGGGCAGTGCGGGGTGCGGAACAGATGCCACGCACCTAAGAAATCCTGCAAAGACAGGTCTCTGGTCAGG